CAGGAATTGGGTAACTTGTGGAGACTCTAGTTATATTCTCCCTCCCATGCCCAAGAAGAATACCCCCAGAGAAACTCAACACTCCTGAAAAGTCAGTCTAGGGGATTGAGTGCCTGGCTTGAGCTCCAAAGGGATGAAACATTTCTGTCCCATGCTTTACTTGCTCAACACTGGGCTGCCAGGCTTTCATAAAACACGTGTGTACATGTCTCATAATCAGGAGTAACTCTTCTGAAATTGTGAACTGCTTTCTTCTCTGTAACTTCTTACAAACTAATGGATTTAAAAATTAATGAAAGCCAGTCTTGATAACAGCGATGTTCAACAATTTAGAATTGCTGGTTTTAAAGAACTGAAATTATGAAATTACAGTGAGAGGGTGCAGTTAGAGTCTAATCTGCTTTGCTTGCTTCCTGAGATTTAAGAATAAAATTGTTATTTAGGGCTCTCCTTTTGGGTGAGTCTGTTTGCAAGAACGGGGACTGTTCGATCAGATGCATCTTCCTTGTCTGTGCTTCTCATTCTCACACTTGTACTGGGTAACATGCAGATAGACATGCTGTTTGCAGAAATACAGGCTGCCTCAACAGAACTGAAATGGACAATAGTTTGGTTTCATTTCCATACAAACAAGTGATATGTTGACTTTCACTATTGGCACAAGCTCTTTATTTTCCAGCAGATTGAAGTCAGTATTACATAGTTAACAGGGGACCATAGTACTAGTTTGAAGCGTCCCTGAGACTTGGTAGCTTTTTTTCACCCTACTCTCTACCTTTCACAGGCTTTTCTTGCTGCTATAAGTGGTTACTATTAACATTAAACCACTTTTTCACATACCAGTTTTAACTTCTTGATGTTAGGAGACTTCCACTTTCTTTCCTGCTTCAGAGGACAGGTTTTATAGGAAGTATTTAAGAGGCAAAATGTGTAACCTGGGAAGGGCCAAACTGAATTAAGCTGTCACCTGAGGTGGGACAACGACAGCCAAATACTTCAGATGGTAAACTGGGTTTAAAGCCATGCTTCTGTATCATCAGAGCATGTTGTCTGTAAGTTGAGTGGTGTTCAGCTGGGTGGCTGTGCTGGAAAGAGATATTCTGAAAAAAGTAAAATCTGATAGTTTGTTACAGAATTTCCTAGTCCCTGCTGGTGGACTATGTGGTTCAGCTGCTTATCCTTTGTCAGGCTGGCCTGGGCTGTAATTTTACCTGCACATACCATCACTACTGCTGTTGCCAGGAGAAACACTTGTCTTGGCCTCGTGGTTGGCCATGTTCAGATACTTGTGGAACTACATTGGAAACCAGATTTGAGTGAAGGAGGACTGAGGCTAAGAATAAACAAATGTAAATGTTCAATCTTTAGCATTTACCAGACCTTCTGTGGAGTTTGTTGCATGAAGGTACATGGAGGGCAGGGCCATTCTTTAGGCAACAGTGCTGACCTGGGTAGCTTATGGTGTCACTTTGTAGATAGATAGGTGTTGTAGACACTTGATGGGTCATCTCCCACTCTTGGAGCTGCTGTGCCATCCTCCCTTGTTCCTCTGACTTGCACCAGTGATGGTGTTTTGTAGTCAGGTGATTAGCTGTGCCTTGACTCACAACCCAACAACAGTGGGTGGTTCATGTTTGCATGGATCAGCAGCTGGATTGTGGAACTACCTTGCAGCTGTGGAGTCATTTGTGGGCTTGTATGTGCTTTTCTACTAGTTCTCTTGCACTATACCAAACCTGATTCTGCACTGACAGCTTGCTCAAAGCATCCACCTCTCTGCTGTTAGCCATAGCCTTGGTCTTGGAAATGTGTCCCAACAATATATCAGGCCCCTCGGAGCCATCATGCCCACCTTGCATATAGAACACAGTGTCCACACAGACACTGTGTTTGGCCAGCTAGGCACAGTTGGGCTGTCCGTTGTTTTTTGTTGGTAAATCAACTTAGACTGTGCAGCTTGTTTTTCCAGTGACACGATTAATAATGACTGGTTTATATGCTGCCTGTTAAATCGTATGAGAAGGCTTTTCTATATTGGTCCTGCCACAGCTCAGGGTGCTGTTTGTGGTTTTCATGGTTAGCATAGCTTGTGCAGAGAGAAACCTCTGTTGGCTCAGAGCGTTCCACAGAGATGTGCCTCAGTATCCATTTCCACTGGCTTTTGAGTACATTCAAGTAATATTCTGATGATAATTTCCATCCTCATAATTGAATAGAGTGGCTTGCATGTTCCGTGATCATTACATGCTGGCACTGTTCTGGCCAAGGCTTGCGGGGGTGAGAAGTGTCTTGCAGCCCATTGTAAATAGAGAAACACAGATGTGGCTCTGACTGTGTTGAGGTTTCTGAGAAGAGGTAGTATTAGTGTTTGGGGCTTTTTTTTCTGCTAATTTGGTATTGAGATTACAGATAGTTTGTATCTTTTGTGCGTGTGTGTGTGGTTATTGGTTTTACAGTTGACTGCAGAAGATATATAGTTAACCACAAGGAAGTAAAGATGTCATTCTCCTCCTCTTTTTTTTTTTTTTTTTTAAGAATGGAAAAAAGCTGAGTAAGTTCTAGGCAGCAATTGAAAGGCAGTAAACAAATTAATACTATTCTGTCCTTATGTCTTGTACCCTCAGGAAGCAAGGCTGTGCAGCTGTTTTCACTTGTCAGATTTCAGAAATTCTGTATGAGAGCTTTCTCTTGAGGGACAAATAGTAAGGAAACCAGAGGTTAGGGGTTCTCTTACTAATGAAGAAATGTGACATTGGAGCCATCAACTTAAACTACTGATCTCTGCAGAAATCTTGCCCATGCTGGTACGACTTCAGCTGTGTAGAGATGCTATCAGGCAGTTTCCCCTTTCCTGCAGATCATGGAAAGGCTGCAGGAGGACAGCAAACCCAGTGTGTTTTAACATAAATGTTTGGGCTAAAGCCCAAAAGAAGTGTGCAGAAGTGCAGACCTATGTCCCAAGCATAAACTTGCTTTTGAGTTTGGTGAGGTCTGTGGGAAAGCAGTTTTGTAAGCTTGTGTTTTGTTTATTTTTAGGGCTTTCAGAAGATGCTTCAGTGGCAATACCTCTTCCACAGTGCAAGTTATGAATGAAATTCATTAACCAACATCCCCTTCCTCACCCTGATCTCCAATAGACTTCCTGTAACACTTGGAAGAAAGGGTCAGGGGAGAAGGGTTGAAGGTCACCATGAAGCTAAAGCAGCGAGTTGTGCTATTGGCCATCCTCCTTGTCATCTTCATTTTCACAAAAGTTTTCCTCATTGACAACTTGGACACCTCAGCCGCCAACCGGGAGGACCAGCGCGCCTTTCACCGCATGATGACAAACCTCCACGTGGAGCTGGACCCTCGGCTTGACCACACCTTGCAGTCCCCTTGGGAGATTGCAGCCCAATGGGTGGTGCCCCGTGAGGTGTATCCCGAGGAGACACCCGAGCTGGGGGCTGTTATGCATGCCATGACAACAAAGAAAATAATAAAAGCTGATGTGGGATACAAAGGGACCCAACTGAAAGCTTTGCTAATACTTGAAGGAGGACAGAAGGTTGTCTTCAAACCCAAGAGGTAAATATTGCCTTGAAGAACTGAATTAATAACTGCTTTATGTTGGGGGTTTTTTTTCTCTCCATGTTGTTGCATTAACGTTTAAGTTACAAATTTACACGTGAATGGAAAAGCCATTCTGTTATTTGTGAGACAGAGAGTGCAGCGCTTTGCTGGTCCTCTAGCAACTTAGGTTGCCGTGCCAACTGTCTCTCAGGCTGTATAGCTTTGGTGCTGGAAAAAACCTGTTTCTGAGCAGGGTCTCCCTGAATGTGGAAGTGTGGGTTCTGGCAGCATGGAGACAAGTCTTGCCTATTCTTTCTAAGTAAGGGTCATGTCAAACTGTCATGCGAGAACGCAGATCTGCAACAGGGAAGGAGTGAAAGCTGACAGTGTCTTAAAAGCAGATCTGGCTGTCTGGTGTAGCTACATGAAGGCTGTGAGAATGGCTTGATAGGTCTGAGTGAAAGTGCCTGAGTTTCCCATCTGTCAATAATGAAGCAATGTCAGAATGAGCAGGTAGTGATGCTTCCTTGGTATGGTGATGGATGGATGGATTACGCTGACCTGCAGGGAAATTTGACATAATTGAACATTTATGAAGAGTCTTGTGCACATCTGTAAAGCTTTCTGTTTGCCTTTGGGGAAAAGGAGAAGAAAGACAGATGTAAAAAAGTATGGCAGGCGTATTTTATGGGAGTGCACTGCAAATGTCAAGTGTTGTCATCGCAGTGTGAGTACATCTCTCTCCAAAGGATATTAGGTTGAGCAAGCATGAAGTTTTTCTGTCATGTCATGAATTATTAGAGGATGAGAAAAAAAATAATCTGCCCTCCTCTTCTTGAATTCACAGCCCTGTTTCTATATGGTAATGACTGGTATGGCTGGAAATTCACTGTGGGGCTGGGCTATGTTTAAACAGTGTAGATCTTTCATACAGACGTCTTAGTGGTTCGGGAGGCTTGTCCAATAAATGCAGTAACAAGACATGGCATTTCTATAGTGCTTTCTGTGTGAGTGCTGTAAAGCATTAAATTACATTCCCATAATGGAATGTCTGTGCAGGCAAATGCAGAGAGTATGCTCCATCAGGGACATGTAGAGCTGGGACTCATTATAGGAGTGCCAGACAGTTTATGGAGTGCTAGACAGTATGGTCCTAGCCATACTGGTGAGACCCATGTCCTGTTTGGGACTGCTGAGTAGCTAGGCTTGTAGGTAGAGTCTTGTTCTGTGCCACCTTTGCTCTAGAAAGGACTAGATGCCTACTGTATGTGGAAGCAAGACGTTGGTTGTGTTTTACCAATAAGTTTTAGCTCTACAGCTTTCAGAATGTGACTCTGTTTACAGAAGCCTGCTGCAAATACATCCAAAAGACCTGACTCCGAGGATGTGTTCTGAGGATTAGTGTTCTCATTTTAAAATTATTTGAAATCCAGCCTAAGTTAATAGCTGTCACAATCATGTGATCACGGTGCCAGTGGTATCTGTGAAATAAGATGCTTTTTGGGTGTAAGTTCCAATCTGGCAGGAATCCGTCAGATCCTCCTCCCAGCAACTCCATGCTGTCCTGCACTGGTAAATTCTCTTTTGAGCTGTCTTGCAGAGAAGCTAAAGCATGTGCTCAAAGTGATGAAGTGGACTGTCATCTCATCCAAGAGATCTTCTCTGGGTGGGGTTAACACATCAAGGGTAGAGCACTGTGGCATCTCTTAATGCTATTGCTGCTACTGCTTAAAGCTGGAGTCAGTTGGAAATAATCCAGTTTACACAATTTGGTACAATGATGGAAGTGAGAAGATAGGTAATCTAATTTGGCCTGACTTTATTTGAAAATGCATTGTATTTCACCCATTTGCTCAGTATTGATTGTGGAATGCTTGTCTGAAGCTTGCTGCTTAAGCAGTATCTAGATTCAAATGTCATGAATCTTGGAAAATTTGTGTTTGCCTTGCCTATTTAAGTAACATCTATTTTAAAAAAAAGTGAAAAAAAAGTCCACTGCTTCATCAAAATATATAATTCTTTTTATCAGGAGCATCTATTTTCTATTTCTTGCTGCTCATGATGTCTTTTCTCCACCAGAATAAAGGGTCTTTTTATATTCAGTGTAGTCCTTCAGGTCGTGCTTGCTGATCTTTTAGCTGCTAAAGGTTGTGTTTGGCATTTCTTCCACAATATCAGATTGTATTTTTTTGTTAATCTACAATCCATTCTAACCGCAAAATAATTTGTGGAGTTGCTGCTTTCTAGTATAAATAGTCCCCTGTTCTGTAGCTGGATCTGTGCACTTTGTTCTTAGATGTGACTTGGCATCTGATTGAATTAAAACTCATTAGTTTGAATAGGCACCACTTCCCAAGCTCTTGAGGCCACTGTACATTACTGACCTTTCCTCCTTATTTACTACTTCAGCAGTCTGTGTGCTGTTTAATCTCATTAACAATTTTTCCCATTGGCAATAATTTTGAAAGTGACTCGAGGTCTGTTACTCTGCACAGCAAAATTAATGGAAATGCTGCTTGAATCACATTTTGACTTATTTCAATTACAGATATGCCAGGGATTATGTAGTGGAAGGAGAACCATACGCTGGCTATGACAGACACAACGCAGAAGTGGCAGCCTTTCACTTGGATAGGTATGGAATGATTGGGTTATCCGGTTGTACTGTCTCTGCTAAACACTTCTTAAGAGTTGGGGAAAAGGAGTTCTTTGAGTACACCTCAGATGTGAGCTAATTCTAACCTGCCAATATACCACATTGAAGCCAAAAATTTAAACTAGTTGTGCAGTACCCATTGCTGCTGTTGCAGTCTTGAGGTGGTGTGTCAAAATCAAGGTATTTTAGACCAAAAAAGGTGATGTAACCAGATGTCTCTTGTCCATTTGTGCTTTCAAGAAACACACTGACTTCTGTTTCCCTGAAAAAGCAGTGATCAAACATTGTAAAGCAACAATTCAAAGCCTGTGTCCAAACCCTTCTTTCTTTTAGCTCCTTCTTCCTATTGGTTTAGTTTTGTGCTTGTTTCTCTGGTCTTTCTCCTGTCTTTGTGGGCATACACCTCTATATTCTTCAGGAATACCTAGCAGAAGATACCTGCTCACATAAACTTGGCAGGTGCCTTTGTTTTGAATGGTGACAGTTAGATAATTTGTCTGAGGATGCTGTAGTGTCAAGAAGGATCTGAATCATATTTTATGTTTAGCACTAATGGGGAGACTGTGCTGTCCAGGATAGTCGCCTTTCAGCTGTGGGTCTGAAAATACAAGGACAGGTTTTCCATAGCTAAGCTCTGTGCTTATTTTCTTGAAGGACATGCGTTGCCTTAAGCTGTACATAACTCTCTATATTGGCTATGAATTTTGTCTTTATGCATATGTAATTTGTTCCCCCAACATTTTGTGTTGTCCTTTCTTAGAGGAATTTTATACTTATGGAAGGGGACTTGCTATACCTAAATATCTAAAATACCTTGCTGTACCTAATACCTGAAAAAAATACTTAACAGCTGCTAGAGTGACTCACAGGAATGTAGATTGTCTCTTTTTTCAGAAGGGACAGTCCCTTTTCAGTCTTTTTTTTTTATGAGATGCAAAGACTACCCAAAGGGTATAAAAAGTACGTTAAGAGAGTTGGGGCTGACATTGTACTGATGTTTGTGCTCCTCTTTTAAGCACTTTGAAGATTCCATTACAAATACCCAAGTCATTTGTGGTCACAGAGCAAAGACTGTGGCAGACACAGGAAGGGAACCTGGTTCTTGTGACCACAAGTTTTATGATTATTCTTCCCACCTCTCTTTTTTTTTTTTTTTCCCAGACACATCAGGCGTTCAGTTTTTGTTCTACTTTTCTCTCTTCCATTCTTCCCCCTCATGCCAAACAAAGTAACTCCTAGGTTGTTTGCTTTCACATATAATTGAGTTTAGCTTAAGCATAACATTTTAATATATAATAATTCCCACAAATGAGAAATGCTTTTTCCAGGTGACCATCCCAAAGGCCATATGGTTACTGCTTCAGCCTGTGCACAAGTCAGATGATGGATATTTCTGCTATGAGGTCTGATTTCTGAGAGTTGGAGCATGGTGCATCCTGTGTTCCTCTGCTGCAAATGCTCTAATAATAGAGTGTCACTGATGGCCTGTAAAGCAAGTTTAACATCCAGGCACTTAAGAAAAAGGGGTTTCCTTACTATGCCTTGAGGAAGGGTTCTGACTTTATGATTTGGTCTCAGTCATCTTGGTTTCAGACAGTGGCACAGAGACTGTGTTTTTGTTTTGTTTTGTTTTGATTTAGACTTGCTGCCTGTGTCGCAAATTCTCATGTCACCTTTTTTCACCCCAAATCAGAATTCTGGGTTTTCGACGAGCTCCACTGGTGGTTGGCAGGTTTGTCAATCTACGTACGGAGATCAAACCAGTAGCCACAGAACAGCTTCTGAGTACCTTTATGACTGTGGGTAAGTGGGTTCCATGGATTGTGCAGCCCAGCGAGGAAAAAAAGTGTGTAATGGGGAAAAAACCGTGTGGATCTGACACTGTTATAGAACAGTTAACTATGATACAGGAAGTTTCTTTCTGTGCCAAAAGAGATGGTGCTTATTTGGCGGGGGAGGAGGACTTGATTTTCTCCAAGAGGTTTTTCCTCTGTAACCTCTCTGTGTTCCTTCTGCTGTTACAGATGGGATTTTTTATTTTATTTTTTTGTTGTTGTTGTTAGTAAGAATTTTTTTTCTCTTTGTTGTCAGAGGTGGTTAGAAAAGTCCATGATTAGACCTGAAAGGAAAAGAATGGAATTGTATTTAGTGCAAACACAGTGGTGATTTGGGATAATTTATAGAGCTGATGCATCGGTTGGTGTTAGATGTTTGTGCTACATCAGAGTCTGCTGAGCATTTATAACCAAATGTGTCAGAACTTCCCTGTATTGTTTACAGTAATGATGCTGTGAAGGGCACTTAATGGGAATTGCTAATGTGAACTCCTACCAGGTGGTCATTAAGCACTGAGAAATTACTAATGCGGCAGCCTTAGAGCCTTCAGGCTTTCATAAAATATTCAATTATTGCTCTGGGTTTTTTGTTTGTTTGTTTGTTTTCTCTTTCCTAATAAGAAGAGTTTAGAGATGATTGTTCATTACAGCTGATAAATGTGTGCCTGTGTATTTCTATTACAAGCACTGTTGGTAGCTTCACCTACTAAATTTGCCTCTTTCAGTTACAAGGTGTAACTTTCAGATGAGAGTAGTTCTCCCTTGCCAAACTCCATTTGCATTCAGATTGGGTGTCTACCTCAGGCGGACTTGACTTTTCCTAATTTCAGCCAAGATAACTAAGCAGTTTTCTAGCAGAAATGCTGACTTGAAAAGTATGGGTCTAGAAATTTTCAGTGCCATTCCTTAGAAATGCCTGTTCTGCAGAGCATGAACCAAATTTGGGGAGAAGTTTGTGATTGCTTGTCAACCCAAATTTGACCAAGTTTCTCAGGTTTTGAAGGAAAGATAATTTTTGCATATTCAGTGCGGATCTGTTTGATTTCCAGCTATAATCTCAATTAATTATCTCTTGCTAGACCTGCTGCAGGTCATGGATAGGAAGAGAGACTTGCAGGGTTTTCCATACAAATAAGAGATCCGGTCTGCTGCAAACTCCTACGTTGTAAATTATCTCTGTCCTCAAGTTGTCTGACTGAGGCAGTGGGAGCACAAGAGGTGGGTCTGGCTGGAGGGACTGTAAAAGGAGTGCTGGCTGGCTAGGGAATTGGCATGTCTAAGGGGATAGCAAGGGGAAAACACATCTTTCAGTGAGCTGGGCCTGGTTTGGGGAGGATGTTGAATGTGGAGCCAAAAGAAGGAAGGACAGAGAATAAGAGGAATCACAAGGAAGTGAGACACAGTTGACTATGTTGGAAGAACATCTGTGACTATGGAACTGGAATTGGCAAGGGTCAAGCAAAGGCAGGGTGGAACAGAAAAAGTTAAGGTAAAAGTGTTAATCTAGACTATGTAGATTATGCTGCAGGCTACGTAGGCCTCAGTGGACTAAATACTGCAGAGTTTCATTGCTCCTCTCCTGACAGGAGACAGACCTGAAACTTCTGACAGACCCACCTTCCTAGATCAAATAAGAATGACAGTTTTGTTGTGTTTCCCTTGCTGAGTAAGCTGTAGTAACTGAGATGTGTGGCAGGTCTCAAGGCTCCAGATTCACTTGAGTTCTGCTTAATCTTTTCACTTGCCTCTTTTTGGTCAGCTTTTTAAAAAAAGTGGAAAATCTGGCACAGAAAGTGTGAACTTTTAAAGAGCAAGCACTGCTAAAGTTGCAAAGTCAAGGTCTTGAGAACTAGGAAGGGATCACAAAAGCTTTTTGATAGTGCAGTGTTGTTTTAACTCTCAGTGGGATGAAAACAATAGAAAATATAGTTACTCTCTCCTTTGAATATTAGTCTTTAACATTGCTTTGATTTACTAGATAGATATCTGTTTAATCTCTTTTGAACCTCTCCCTCTCAAAGAAAGGAAGCATGAAGTCAGGTGCAGTGGAATCCTATTGCAGGGAAGGCATTGCTGCAAAAATATGCTCCTGAATTTCAGATGGCATCCCTTGGATTAAGTTCTGCTCTTTTGATACCTCATTATTTATTATTATTATTTTTAAGGTAATAACACTTGCTTCTATGGGAAGTGCTACTACTGTCGGGAAACAGAACCAGCTTGTGCAGATGGGGACATCATGGAGGGGTCAGTGACTCTGTGGCTACCAGATGTCTGGCCTCTTCAGAAACATCGACACCCATGGGGTAGGACTTACCGTGAAGGCAAACTTGCCAGGTATGAGAAAATGATAGGCTTATTCTTTATACATGATCATTTGTACTAAGATTACCCTTACAATACTGTCACTAATTGATAAGCAAGTGTTCTCAAAACCTAAGTGTTTTGCTGACAGCTTTCTTGATATGGCAGTAAAAATTCAAGAAGTCAGAGATTTAAATTAAAACAAGCACAAAAGAAATAATGATACTAAGTACTGTCCTTTTCCTACTTCTGGCCTGGAACAGGAATGTTTTTGCCATGACCAGAGCAAATGGTTTTGAATTTCATAAGATTTTCCAAGTCTGTGTCCTGGACAAGTGATTAGAAGGAGATTTTTAGCCCTCGATCTAAAATACCCATTGATTTCCAGGAAAGTGAGTGTTCTTGGAAAGAATCTCATCCAAAGGCTTCATTGGATTGCTTTAGAGTATTAAATGTACAGTTTGATTTTTTAGCAGATGTTTTCTCCTTTCCACAAGGTCAAAATCAGCTGTATTTAGTAGATGGTAAATTGCAGTACTGAATGGACAGAATTTCTTGGAGGTGTTTCTTTTTTTGAGAGACTGTTTTTCATCATGAACTGCCTGCTTACACAGGACTTTACCCTGATACCTATGCTGATTTGATATTTGCTGCATTTTAAACTTACTTGTTCTTGCCTTCTTTAGATGGGATTGTGATTGTGTGGTTCTGTTGTTTTGCACCTTGTCACGTTGGTCTTTTCCCTTTGAGAGCAGCAGGAGAATTAAACACTCTAGATGGCACACTCTCCTTTTTTTTCTTTGTCTGGTAATTACAGAAAAATAACTCTGTAGGAAGTTTTTTCTTGGCCTAGCTCCTCTGCTCCATCCTGAGTTGACCTTTTGAACATAATTCATAAAGTCACATTAGTGTATGTAATTTTTAATGGACGTGTAATAGATAAAACCCTGACCTTTGAAGCCCTATGCTAATACAATATAAATGATCAGAAATAAATGTCAGAGCAAGGTCTGTCTTGAAAAACTGAATGGAAAATGAGAAGAGAGAGCATAGTGTGTCTGAAAAATTGTTGCCAGGGTATTAACTACTGATCCAAAGTAAAATGAGAGAAATAGAAGCACTTGAGGGAGAGAGGGATGTAGCATAAAAGAAATGTATGCAGTACAAGGAGGAGTATATTTGGAGACTTCAGCCTTGTGGGTTAGGGCTGTTAAGTTGGAATGTGAGTTGGACCTTGAGGGGACTAGAAACAGCATTTGAGTGTGTGACATGTTAACAAAACCTTTGAGAAGATACATTTTTGGCCATTCTGATTTGGATGACTGGAGGAGAGAGGATATTGGGGGCTCAGGCTCCAGACCTCTAGAAGATGAGTTAGGGTGTGTGGCAGTTCTAATAGATAAATTCTGATCTTCTCCCTGCTTTTATGACTCTCTGCAATTTTGAGCATGTCAGTGAGCTTTTTTTTTTTTTTTTTTTTTGAGCATGTCAGCTTCTTTCCTCCATTTCTAAGTCACAGATGGTTTAAAGCATTTCCAACTTAACTGTAATTTTGTGAACGATTGTTTGAGCCCTTACATGGAAGATGTTGTAGATACACTTGTTACTTAGGTTAACAGATGGAAAGGATACATACCAAAGATTTGGCTGTTTTGATGGTGGTGTTGAATAGCTTTGGAAACTATAGAGAAGAAAATAAGAAAATGTAAAATTCCAGCTTTGAAGGACTGAGATATGATATCCCTGTTATAAAACTGCAGGTATGTGCCTAGGTTATGTGTAGAGGGAGAGAAAAGGGAAGCTTGAAATTCTGCCAGTGGGGAAGGTGAGAGACTCTGAAAGGAAAGTGGGGAGCAAAGGAAAAACTGAAGAATGAATACATAAGAGGCTCTTCTTCTCAGGGTGAAGGAGGTCATTAGTAACCGTGATGGGGTTATTTGCATTAGAAAGAAAAAATGAAGAGGATCACTGCAAAGCAAGGCTGATGGAAGCAGGTCGAGGCAATAGAAATAGACACAGTACTTCAGGTCCTTAGTGAGGAAGTTAAGGCAGGTAAGTCATGACAGTAATCTTGCTGTGAGGCAGCTGAACCACTGCTGAATTGTGAGCAGTGAGGAAACAAACTCTGACCTTGTTTTCTGCAGGAAGATGATGTGTAACCTTGCACTGAAAGTGTAGCTTGCTCCATACACTGGGGTGTTAATACAGGATTTACTCTTTTCACAAAACACTTATGTCTAGCTGCTGCTTCTTCATATAGCCTTGACTGCTGCCCTTACCTCTTCTTTATGCACTAATAAATGAGTAAAGGAGCAGCTCAATGTAATGTTAGTGTGCATTATTGAAGATCTGATTTATTCCCTCATGGTGGCCCACAGGTGGGAGTATGATGAAAGCTATTGTGATGCTGTGAAGAAGACTTCCCCCTATGACTCGGGCCCCCGTCTCCTTGATATCATTGACACTGCTATCTTTGACTATTTGATTGGGAATGCTGACCGGCATCACTATGAGAGCTTCCAGGATGATGAAGGAGCCAGTATGCTCATCCTCTTGGATAATGCCAAAAGGTAAGGGAAATCCTGGTGGCCAGGCAGTGGTGAGAACAAGGGCACATGTTTATCTGCTCTGTATCTCTGGGTTTTTTTCCTCTCACTACTTTTTTTTTTCAGTACTACCTTTTGCGCTAAAAATTCAAAGCTTTTCTTCTTACTAGAAATCACTCACCAAGTACTAGGGTCCTTCAGAGGCTGTGATGCTTGCTCTGTGCTCTAGTTACTGTGACTGCTTTGGGCAAAGTCTTACTCAGACTACAGAAACTCCCAAATTAGCACAGTATGACCTTTTTTCTGCCAAGCAGCTTTCAGAAGTTTCCTTGTTGTCTCTCTTGTCCCCAGAAAAACCCATTTTTTTAATGCTCTTAATTAATGAAAGATGAAAAACATATGATTTATTGTTTACCAGTGAGTATTACTCAGTGCCAGAGTAAAATAAGATATTTTCAAAACATGTTTCTGAATAATTTTGCATTCCCTGCTTTTGGAATCTGTCTGCTCTGGTTTTAAAAGTTTAAAATGGAGATAGAACTGATACTGAGAGCAAGATACGATGATGTGTTGAGTGTGGACATTAACTGCTTCAAGAAAAAAGTGAAGCATGTAGTAGCTGAGAAGAATGGATAAGTCCTTGAGGCTAAACTTTACTATTAAGCCTATGTATTTAAAATGCGAGTTGTTCTGTCTTTGCTGTAGTTTTTGTATGTTGGCTGGCATAGTTTAAGTTAAAAATCCTGTTGAAGATACAGCCTTGTTGAAATCATAACAATTTGCTTAATTTTTTAAAAAAACAAAGGTAGCATATTCCACTTTCTCATTATTTAGCCCAGAGACTCCCAAGGTTTTTTTCTGATGGGCACTACCATCTGCAGAGGAGAACCGTCAGCTTCTTTCTGTTGGTGAGCTCTGGAAGTCTATTTGCCAGGCTCTGCAGTGGCTTTGCACACCACTTGGATGAAGTGCACACAGCACTGAGACGTCTGATCTGGACAGATTCTTGGGAGGCTTGGAGTTAGTTCTTTCCCCATTTGCCTTTTGTATATAGTGGATTCCTTCCTTCCTTTCTTCCTTTGCTCCTAATTTTTCTGCAGTGGCTGAGTTGAGTAGTTTGTCTTTATGTGTCATCCTGCTCAGGAACACTCCTTCAGTTAATGTCATCAGGATGCATTCCACCTTGGGACTGCTTAATTATTGCTGTAGGTGAATTTGGCAGACGTTGCCTTTCTATAATGTCCTGGCAATGTGCCAGAAGGAAGTTAATGTATTAGTGACTGGAAATAAACACAGTAGTTGAAGGTCATGTTAGACCTTTCATTGTGCATATAATGTTACAAAAACATTGTGGGGCATTGCAGGCCCAAAACTGAATTGTTTTCTTCAAAATGTATGTAAAGTTCTTTTAGCTCCTTTGAGATAAGGGATAGGGAGATATTTTTTTCTTAGAATCATAGAAGATCTCAAGTTAGAAGCGACCCATAAGAACCATCAAGTCCAGCTCTGCTCCTCACGGGACTAAAACTAAAACTACCTAAAACTAAACCATGTAACTAAGAGCATCATCCAGATCCTCATTGGTGCTGTGACCACTTCACTGGGGAGCTTATTCCAGTTGTGTAGCTACTAGTAACAGAGTTACTTGAGCAGAGTAATGCTGAACTCCCAGAGCAAGTTCTCTTTATTGTTGGGAAAGTTATTGATAACAGTATTATGAAGGGGGGGGGTTGGAAACTATTAAAAATAACCCCAAAACAGTGTTTAGAAGGTGAAATCCTATGAGGTCCTTTTGACAAGCCTCCCTTAGAAAGTGTGATCATGAAATATTAAAGCAGATCACCTTCTTTGAACTGTTGACTGAAACTTGGCCATCTAAACCAGCATGTGGCTGCTGTTTAATTCCCTGGTTTAGCAAGATGAGCTTAATTTCTAAACTCTTCTGAAGTCTGTTTCAAAGGTACCTTGGTCTGATAAAGAACTAGGTGTGCTGGTGTTGCTTCCTTTTATCTGGTACATCAGCTGATGCTGTTGAGAGTTATGTCTGTAATTGCTTATGGCCTGTTTATATTTTAATTTAAATTATTTGAATTGGTGGAGCATGAAATTGCTTAGTGTTGAATTTTTTTAATTCTTTACAAATCTTTTGATGTAGAGAACATTAGGAGTTCAGCTGCTTCACTTGATTTTCATTTTGCATTTCAGCTTTGGAAACCCTGCCCTGGATGAAAGAAGTATCTTAGCTCCTCTGTATCAGTGCTGCATGTAAGTGAGTTGCAGGGATGCTGTTCACTTGACTTACACAACTACTGTCTTTAGGTGTGCAGTGTAATTAAGTGTGAAGCCTTCTGGCAACCCAAAAATGTTTGCTGGGGTACATAGGGCTTTACTTTTTTGGGGTACTATGTTTGATGTATTGTCACTGCTCAAGTAGCTGAGGAAGCTGTTTTTATGAAGGTGTAAAATCAGATGGCAGGCTGTAGGAAGCAGTCTTGCTTACAGGTCAAATCTGGGTCAAATCTATCCTCAGTCAGGATGATAGGTACTCTGGTGCTGCAGCTGTCTGCATCCAGCTCCTGCCCAAGAAAAGTTCACGTCGCAGTTTGAGTTCTCCCTGACAGAAGCTGAGAACTCCACAACGTGTCTGGCAGCTTAATTACCTTCATTTCCCAATCTTCTTTCTAAACAAGCCTGCAGCACTGCTTAGGGTGCTTTTTTCAAAGTGAGGTTTGTAGGATTTTGTTTCTGCTTTGGCCTTGGGAGCTGTGGGTTTGTTAGTTTTATTTTTAGAGGCTGTGACTTGTTGATTTCTGTTTTCTTTGGCCACTCTCTCACCAGGCCATTGCTACATCTCATTAACAAATAGATAAAAGTACCAGGGAGAAAAATACTGATATATCTGTTTCATGCATCTGTTACTTCAAGATAACTTTAAAACTTCCAAAGAATGCATTTAGTTGAGAGTTCCTTGAGCCTGTCCTTGGAGATTTCTGCCTCCCAAATTGCTCAGGGCCTGTGAAACCTGGGAGCTCTGCAGAAAGCCTGAGCTCTCAGCCCCTGCTTGTGCTAAGGAAGGCTCTTTGCATGCTGCAATAGATCTGGCCTACATTCTGCAAAGATCTTTTAGAATCCATATGGAGAACAATTGAAGTAAATTATTTTCAAATTCTTCAAATTTTCTATATTAATTTTAAAGGCATTTTTATTTCTTGTTTTATGAAGATCTTTTGGAGTCTTTCTCATCTGGATTCTCCTAAATATAACCAGAAGATTATGTAATAGACTTCACTATTTCCTACTTTTCAGATATCCTTTGTGGTATCAGGCAAATGCCATGAAAGAATTCGTATGTGTGATTGGTTTTAACTATAGGTTTGCTGCACCACTTGCTTATATTGCTCTTTTCTTTGGTGGCCGTCAAAAGCCAAGAGTTTAGACCAGTGGTGCTAAAATGCAGACCTTTGGGGGAGAATCCTTAGAGTCTTCACAGAGCAAGATGGTTTAAATGGGCTGATACGAACAAGCTCAATGGCCAGTGGGGCAGAAAGATGACTGCCCTGTTCACTTTCTGTGGGACTTCAGTGTGCCTGACTTGTGTCCTTTGAGATTAGTTGTTGGTCAGTGATGCTCTTCCTGACGTAACATGAGTTTTGTTTTGAAATTAGCAGCCAGATTGTTAATTTTGTTTCCTTTTTGAACTGTGTCTGGGAGCTGTCAGGACTGAAGAACTTCCTTGCTAGCAGCTGGAATTGTTCTGTGTAACATAAGGATTACATCACATTACATTCTTTCTTCTTCCCCCTCAGTTTTCAAGCTTCACTTAAATACTGCAGATAATGCAGTTACACCTGGACCCTCCCATTCCAAAACCACTTTTGTAGAAAAGGTGCCATCCTGGTTGGTTCAAATCATGATGTAACAGGCTCCCTGGAGAGGCTGGCTGTGGTATTGCTGGTGGAACTTGGGCTGGACAGTGGTACAATGACTCTTTCTTTCTTTCTTTCTTTCTTTTGCAGCATCCGGGTTTCTACCTGGAACAGACTCAATTACCTGAAGAATGGAGTACTGAAGTCTGCCTTAAAAACTGCGATGTCTCATGACCCCATCTCACCAGTGCTTTCTGATCCTCATCTGGATGCCCTAGACCAGAGGCTTCTCAGCATTCTGGCTACAGTGAAGCAGTGCACAGACCAGTTTGGGCCAGATGTTGTGCTGGTGGAAGACAGGATGACACTGTCTCATTTGTAATTGTAGTGGAACACAGATGAAACTCCTTTTTTTAAAAACAAAAAAGCAAACAAAGAAAAAGTTATAGAAAAACAGCACAATCAGTTCGGAAAGGCTGTGGCCAAGATGGACTGAGATGAACAGGAAAGCTTCTGGGCCAGAAAACAGAGGTGACACTGGCTTTTACCGTGGGCTGACAACAGTGAGAGGTGGGAAAACTGGAGCCTTGGATGGCTCAGTACCCGTAATGGCATCTTGGCCATTGTGGTGTGTCCATTGCTGGCAGTGGACACAGCGCTGGATAAAAATGGCTCTTGGTGTTGGTGGAAGTGTGTGGAACACAGACACTGATTTTTGGACCGAACCTAGAGGGGACAAATGGAGATGAACAATACAATCTTCTCCCCTTCTCCTCCCCACATATACTCTTGAGAGTGTTTGTCTGATTTCAGGGTTGTACATAATCAGCTGGGAGCTGGTTAGGCATTTTGCTGCTTCTTTAGAGAAAGAGGAAGTGGTGAATAAAATAATTATTAGATTGAAGAATTGTGCCACCCCCTCAGGGGTGGGAAGTTCTTTGGAATGCCATTGGGGTGGGAGAAGGCACCTCTGCTGCTCAGTTGTCCTTTCCTCAACAAAAGGCTGGGAAAGGGGTTTGCCTCATTTGTGATCATGCTTCAGTGTTTTCACAGAAGCCCTATCAAAGATTTATCCACAGGGTTGGAGATTTAGGAGAGGGCAGGGTGGTTATACAGCACTTGGTAATTAAGGGGTTAAAGTAAGTTTCTACATGTCTTTAATAGGGATCTGGCAAGGTCTGAGTAGAATAAATATCCTTGCAGTCCTGTGTCCATATTAACTGAATTTTCACCTTAGCTGAGGAGAGTGACAGAATCTGTCCTTGGGAGCAGGTTCCATTGGGTGAGGTCACACTCCTTACTGTGTGTCCTGCTGGATGTGGGGAACATGGAGGTGTTGCACTGGGGAGAGCTGTCTTGCTAGGCTTCCCCAGTAACCAGCAGCCATGGGCAAGGCCCAGAAGCAGGGGGAGAACCCTGAGCTGTGCTTTTCCTTCTTCAGTTCGCGTGGAGAGTGCTGCTCCATGTTGTAACCACAGCAGCTTTTGAGTCCCAGTGTCTACCTGGCCTGGCTTGTGGCTGAGCTCTGAAGCTGTCAGCTTTTCCAGTAAGGTTTCTGCCTTCCCCAGCTGCTTCTTGTAACCCCCAGTGTGATGCTCTGACTGGGGAGGTCATCCCAAGGTCCTCACTCCTAATGGTTTTGCCCTAGATAGGGGAGGGTTGGGGTAAGTTTGTTTTCCAGGGCAGACTTCAGCACTGTGTCAGCCTGTACTGTAGAGGAGCTTGTGGCCATGCAACTTGTCACACTGGTGGTGGGTCTGAGCCTATGTCTTCAGAAGGAAAGCAGCTGTGTCATTACATTTTCAAATTTAACAGCTTTGCATCAATTTTCAGTTCAGACAGTATGGTCCTTAGAAGTAAGGCAAGAGCTCACTTCCCAAAGTGATTTTGTGTTGGACTTAAGAGCAAGAGCAGCAAAATGTCAGTTCAAGGCCTTTTCCTTGATTTATCTGTCAAGATCTTTCCAGCTCTGCAGTCTTGTGGTGGGCAGATAGAGCTATTTTCTGTTCTTGTACCTGCTGCCATACCTGATCAAAGAGGTGCTAGTGAGACAGTTTGTTGTTAAAATGCAGTTTTATTTTGTTCAAGTCTTTTTTTGTCATTGCCTGAGCAGGGTATCTTGAAAGTATAATGCAACCGTTTACCTGAAATTGAGTTTTGTGTTGTTCTAGATCTCTTCTGGACATGGCCACATCATAGACCTGCCTCACAGTTGGGATGGGATGTGGGGTTATTTATTGAGGTTACCAGTCAGGACTACAAGGCACAGCCAGCTTTTAGGACACTGATGTTAAGCTAGTGCCTGTTTATTCCTGTACCTGATCACATAGCACATACTTTAGAAGCCACGGGCCTTTGGAGAGTTTAACCCACTTGGGTTGTGCCTTGGGGCTTCCCTTCGGGCAGGAGCATGTGCTTGGCTGACAGTGAGTGTGGGCAGGGATGGCCCTGCTCCTGAGCCAGTGGGTAAGGAGGCAGGAAGGACTATGGGCAACAGTGACGTGGATAGAGAATGCTTTTATTGTAAAGCAGAATAGGTTGATACTGAGGCATTTTGGCATAAACTGTTTCCCTGGAAATTAAGATGATTTACTCAAAGGGGAGACAGTGAAGAAGCACATGGTAGTGGCTTTTAGCATTTTTAAAAGCATGTTCTTCTCTTTGAGCTTAATCATGAGCACTTAATATTTTGGGAAGGATCTACCAAAATGTGATGTTTTGATTTCTATATGATCACTCTTGATCATTTACATTTGATTTAATAATGGTTTCCAAAAAATGTCTTTATGAAATCAAATTAGGGTTCAGGACTTAAGCCTTCTTTTTCACAGGGCTCTAAACTGGAGCTTTTGCCATCAGTTGGAACCTGGAGCTAAGTTTTTCCATAGTATGAATGTCAAAGATTGAAAGCAGTGTATTGTTTTTTTTGTGAACAAAGGTCATGGAGCTCAGCATCATCAGTATGAGGAAGCAAGAAATGGTTTCTATTTTTATTTTTTTTTGGTGATATTTATGCTTCTGGTTGCAGTGAACACCGGTGCAGCTTGGTGTTCTGCAGCAGGAAAGAAGAATAAATTCCTCTCTTACACAGAATCAGGAAGGTCTGATTTTGCCCTTGTGATAATCTCTGGCATTTTGGCAGTGATCGTTGTTTTGCTTGGATACAGGACACTGAGAAATTTCAAATGGTGAAATTTCAAATGGGGAAATCAGAAGCAGCATCCACATGCAAACAGGGTTCACTTGAACCTCTGAAAAACAGCATAATGTGTGAGGCAGGTGCTGTGCTCTGTCGAGGAGGTTTTCATGACACCTTCTAACTCTTGTTCACTGTGCAGACTGTAATCTGCTAGCTCCAGATGTTACAAACTGGTTGTGTTGCGGGTATTAGTAATATCAGAGTGCTTGAAGCACAGAAATCAAGAACTAATTAAAAAGAGAGCATCATCAACCATCTGCTATTTATCTCCTCCTTCCCAAGTCAGCAGTCAGGCTGGAGGAGGCACTGAAGTCAGCTCCTCTTCCAGCAGCTGATGAACTGGGGTGTGTCTTGCCAAACAAACTTCAACTGAGAAATACTAATTTATTAAGAAGGTAATTTATTTGCTGTGGCAGCTGGAGCAAGATGCTCGAAACAGACACCCCTCTTGGAGCTGTCAGAGGATTGCCCCTGGGAGCAGCTGCACAAATGGAGGTTGCTAATAAGAAAACAGAATGCAATCATGACTTTCTACTTGTATCCTCCGGGGTCAGATTCTGCATAAAGCAACATTGTGTGAATAAAGATTTTAATAAAACAACATTGATGGATTGTTTAACTCTCTCTCTCTCTCCTGTCTCTCTCTCTCTTGTTCCAGCATGTGGTGGGCTGAATGTTTCAAGTGTTTTGGTGTTCTCTTTCATGGTTATTCCTTCATTAATAATTATCAATGGTTTATTCCTGTCAGATATATCCAAGAATAGATTCAAATGTGCAGGTTGTTTGCAAAAGCCTTGGAGGTAAGGAAAGATGTGTCTAAAAGAGTGTTCCAGAGTGATGCAGAAGAAGAGTGGTCTTCAGACAGCTTTTGAAAGTGCATTCCATGGCCCTGTATCTGCCAACCACCAAGACTGATTCCTTGGTTGTGTCCCAGTAGGTTGGCTTTGTAAGACAGAGCAAGGGATATGTAAATTGAGCTGGCAGAAGATGTCTGTAGAGTTGGCAGGTGTTCGTGGTTGCCTTGTCCAAGCTTTTATTGAGTACCTTTTATGAGACAGGACAAGTAAACAACCATCAAAATCTGTTCCCATGGAGTGCAGGGGTTTATCTGACTGTAGCAGAGCTCATTTTCTTAATAAACCACTGCAGTGAGTTTTCCAGAGGTGGGAGGTGATGCTCCAAGTTCTGAATGCCAGGCATCTGGCAGCCACCAAGAGCTGCTGCTGGGGACAGGACACAGCAAAACTGCCAAGGGACCATCCTGCTTCTGGCAACATGGGGAATGGTCTTGGACCTGGCCTTGCAGCATCACGGTGGCATTGGTAAGTTTCTCAGTTAAAAATTTGGAATTCAACATTGCTGATTTTTGTAAGAACTCTTTGGGTTTTATTTTGGGGTTTTGAGTGGGAGGATGTTCTGGGTTGGTTTCTTTGTCTCCTATTTTTGTGTAGTGACAATTTTTCATGTTCTCCATCTCTATTTTTGAGGTGCCAGTTTCCTCGGGGAGCAGGACAGGTTTCTTGCTTCTGTGTAAGCAGTTCAACAACTTAGAGAAACCAGAGATGCTTTTAAATTTTGAAAGCTTGAAACTGCTAGTTCTGAGAGCTGTTTTTACAAAAGCTTTGTTGTATTACTGCTGTGTTATTTTGGAGTGGTTTGCCTTAGTATTGGGGAGAATTCACATAACTGGAAGATTTTAAAGCATTTCTGATTGTGTAATGAACATAGTTTTACAGAAGAATGGAAAAAAAAACTTTGAGCCAATGGAGAACCAAAGAGTTTGCAAAATTAGTGATTTCCCTGAATTTCTTTCAGTTTATTTCCCTAGAAATTTTTATTGATTTAAAAAAAATAGAAATTAAAATAAATTCTTAGTTAATATATCCCAGGTGTGAGACTGGTGCTCCATTGTTTTTTCTTTCTGAAGTCTGAATATTTTTAAGAGACTGGGGATAGGACTTTGTGGGGCACAAAACTAAAGGAAGGGGGAAGGACTCCCTTAATATAATTTATTCTAGATCTTTTTATTTACAAGGCTAATCTGTGGCTGTATTATAATGAACTGCTGGAGAGGGACTCTTCTCTTGCCACCTTCTATCAAGAGTTCACCTGTGGATGTGCAGAAGGAATTGCTTTGAAAACCATAAAGCCATAAAAAGTTGGATGCTGGGCATTTCCCTGTTCCGTGGATCCAGCCTGTAGTATAAAATCCTGGATTACAATGTTCCCTCTGAGTGTTTGCTGTTCCAGGAGGTGTTAGAGGTGCTGAATAAGCCAGGCATAACCACATGCTTGTGTTTTTTTCTTTCTCTTCAGGTGACACCTTCACTGTAAGACCTGACTGGACCTGAGATCGTGGATTTTTAATCAGGTGGTTGCTGCTCAGCAGGGCTGCTTTGGAATAACCAGCCATGAGGTGAAAAGCCATCCATTTTCTCTTGATTTTTCCTCACTTCAGTGTGTTGTTAACCTCAGAGCCAGGTCAAAGAGAGTATAGAGTTGGCAAGTTATTAACAACTGCTCTGTTTTCCCCTTCAGCTCTTATGACATGCAGAGCTTGAGCACAGCTGATATCCCAGGAATTATGCCACTGTACCCTGGAGCTGGCATGGTGTTGCCCAGTCAATTGTTTTAACTTTCAGAATGTACTTTCTCAAACTTTTGTCCTTTGAAAGATAGAAGCATCTATTTTTTATCAAGTCTGTCCCTTTCTATAAGCTCTCTCCAGCTAAAGCATTTATTCCTGGGAGGGCAGAGTTTCATGTTACAGCTCCAATGGTTTGTTTTTTTTATAAAGGTGGAGAAATGCTCTTAATTCAGATGCTAAAACTAGTTTTCAGAAAGGCTGGTAGCTGTTTGCTGTGGTTACAGTAAGTTTGATTTTTTTAATTGATTTATAAAATACTCGCAGATTTTACTTCTGTTTAAGTTACTGCAACTGGTGTTAAGGTTTAAGCCTGACTATTTTTGAAGCTGGAGTGGCCAATTGGGCTAATACCAGTCTTTTCATGCCGATGTGTAATATCTGTAGGCACCTGTAGATGGTGATGTGCTCCACTCCATGCCTTGGCAGTGCTGGATCCTGCCCCTCATCCACTTAAACAAGTGAATTGCCAGGCTGGATGAATTGTGTTTGGTGTCCTCCTTATTTTTATTTTTCCGAGCATATGGAATAGCCTTAAAATTCTTTCTGTCTCTAAAGTATCTTGTCCTCATCTCAGTCAGGGTCAGTTGTGGCTGGACTTCTCCTGCTGCTCAGTGACTTGTAGCGGTGTTTGTCTGTTACACTAATCCAGTAGTGGGAACAGCTTAGGGTAAAGTGCAAGTTGTAAGAGGCTTCTCTACTTTGCATCTCCCCTGCCCAGCTGAGTTAGTGTCCCTAGCATGGCAGCACTTACCAGTTGTGCTGTGGAGGGTTGAAGTCTGCCTGTTTCCAAAATCAAGGGGGTCCTAGAATCTCCTGCCAAAGCCTGAGCAGCCAGCCCTAACCACTGTGCTTGCTGCTTGTCTGTCCAGGAGAGGTTTTACAGCTTGTTGGAGAAAACCAGTGGTTGGTGGTGAGCTTAGTGGTAGTAATGAGTTGTGCCTCAGTTCTCATACACAATTCTGTGGTGATTCTGTGCTGCATTTATTTTCCTGGCTGCTTGAGTGGAGCCCATCCTAGCTGTACTGGTGGGTGAGGGTGCACTGATGCAAAACAGCAGCACTTTTTGGGGTCGATGAGGGATGACACGCACCTGGTGTCCCACAGCAAGCCCATCCACCCCAGATCTTTGATCTGATGGCTAAACTGAGCTCAGGGCAGAGCGGGCAGCGGGAACACCCTGGGCAGCTCCCAGTGCCGCTGCTCTGACCCACCCCCTGCCTCCTGCATCCTTTGAGTCTTGCATCTGGGGAAGAACAACCCCATGTACCAGTACAGGTTGGTGGCTGACCTGCTGGAGAGCAGTGTAGGAGAAAGGGACCTGGGGGTCCTGGTGGACAGGAGGATGAACATGAGCCAGCAATGTGCCCTTGTGGCCAAGAAGGCCAATGGATCCTGGGGTGGGTTAGAAAGGGGGTGGTTAGTAGGTCAAGGGAGGTTCTCCTGCCCCTCTATTCTGCCTTGGTGAGGCTGCATCTGGAATGTTGTGCCCAGTTCTGGGCCCCACAGTTCCAGAAGGTCAGGGAACTGCTTGAAAGAGCCACAGACATGATGGAGTGGAACTGCTGAGGAAAGGCTGAGGGTGCTGGGTCTGTTGGGCTTGGAGAAGAGGAGACTGAGGGGCCACCTCATCCCTGGTTACGGATCTGTTCAGGGCAGTGTCAGGAGGGCAGAGCCAGGCTTTGTGCAGGGATGTCCAGTGACAGGACAAGGGGCACTGGGTGCAAACTGGAGCCCAGGAGGTTCCATGTGAATCTCAGGAAGAACTTGTTTGGTGTGAGAGTGCCAGAGCCCTGGGCCAGGCTGCCCAGAGAGGCTGTGGAGTCTCCTTCTCTGGAGACATTCCAACCCCCCTGGCCACGTTCCTGTGTGATGTGCTCTGGGTGCCCCTGCTCTGGCAGGTGGGCTGGGCTGGGTGATCTTTTGAGGTCCCTTCCAACCCCTGGGATTCTGTGATTCTGTGGTTCTTTGTGCCTGTTATTTTTGCATCCCCTCGTAAACGGCCCCGATGAACAACAGCTGCGTTTGTGGCAGCCAAACTTCATCTGGGCTGCTTCAAAACCACATTATTTGCCTTCCCTGGCGGTTCGGTGTTGGTGCTGCAGGCTTGCCAGGGGTGGAGGGTGGTAGCAGTGCCGTGGAGCTTCCCTGGGGACCTTCCTGGGACATCTCCAGCCCGGCTGGAAGAGAAGCCACTCGCTTCTCTCCCAGGGCGCGACCTGGGGAGGAGAACCCATCCAAGTTTTGTAGGGAGCAGCCCGGGTTCGTGTCGGGGCCGGTTTGGGCAGCGTGGGGCTGGGCACTGGGGGGGCGGGCGGGTCCCGGAGCGTGTCCCTGGGTCCAGACGAGGCGGTGACACCTCCCCAGGGCCCGGAAGTGAGATCACGGCTCGGAGGCTGAAGGGGGAGGCTGAGACACTCGGGCAGGATTCGCTCCCAGCCGCAGGGATTCCCGCCATGGGGCTGAGCTCCTGCCTCCTGCTGTTGGTGCTGCTGCTGGGGGGGTCGGGCGGCAGGGACAGCCGAGGGACACCCCCGAGGGGGGCTTGGGAAGAGGAGGGGGAGCTGTGGGGCAGGGCGAGGTACGAAGCCGTGAAGAAGCACCTGGGGGCTGTGGGTGCTCTCTCCAAGAAGTACTGGCAGTACCTGGCGTGCAAGGTGTGGCAGGAGGGCTGCGAGGAGGAGAAGGAGGAAGAGTCCAGTCCCAGGCCAGGTAAGCACCTTCCTCCTTTCTCTCCCTTGCCCATGTCTGGGGTTCAAACACCCCGCTCCTTCCATCTCCTGTGGGTGCTGTCCTCCCCTCCCCCAAAGGTTACTGCCCTGGGCATCCTCCTCCCTGCTCAGCAGCCCCTGGGCTGCCACAAACACAGGTCTTGGTGTTAGCTGAACCAGCTGCTGCCCATCGAGTGCTGATTCCCCATCCCACAGCCCTGGCTGATCCCCTGCACCTGAGCAGAGGGCTGCCCTTAACTGGCCTCAGCTGGAAACCCAGACAAAACAAAAAAGGCACTTGATAGCACCTCTCAGCTCAGACCACTGCGTTTTCCAGGTTGGAGTTTGCCTCTGGTGGGGCAGGATTACCTGGAGATCCTCTCTGCCTGGTACTGCAGCTTTGGCAAGTGCTGCAAGACGGGAGACTGCCGGGTAGTCAACAACATCACAGGTAGGTGTTGTGCTGTGCTTGGGAGACCCCAACTAGTGCTTGTCTGCTGCCTCTTTCTCTCTCTTTTTTTGTTTGTGGAGTTTTCTTCTTTTTAAAAAGGTGTATTTTAGCAAGCAGTGTAAGTAAAGGGCATTTCTGAGCAGGTGGGGAGGGGGGTGAGCTAATTTCTGTTCCCCATGATTCCTTTGTAGTTGTGAGGCTGCAAGAGAGTTTTCATCTTGCTGTGCTTGCTTGTCTCCTCCTGTTTGCCACCAGCCCTGCCTCCACCCAGTGGCTCCCAGGCATATGAAGTGGGACCCAAACTGGCCCAGTATACAGCCCCTGGTCTGGGGGGAGCACTAAGAGCTGTGTGGGAGCCCTGTGCATGTGTCATTTTGTTTTGCTGGCCCTGAGATGTCTGGTATCTATACCCACTGCTGGGAGCTTGCGAGGGAGTCATCAAATACCTCCTCCACTTCCCAAAGGAAAGAAGGATTCAGAGGAAGATCTGTGTCTCTTTGCAGCTGGTGCAGGCAGGGTCCAGGCAGCCTGCCTCATTAACCCTGCAGCTTTAATGCCAGACATGTGATGTCCTTGCAGACAGGCAGCCCCACCAGGAGGGCCCTGTGGGCTTAGTGTCTGCCATGTTTTCTACTCTTACTCTCACCTGCAGCAGCAGCTGGGTTTGCAAGGTAAAACTGAGTTCTTGGTCTCTCTTTCCTGCAGGGCTAGAAGCTGACCTCAATGAGCAGCTCCATGGGCAGCACTTGGCCAAAGAAGTTGTCATCCAGGCAGTGCAAGGGTTCCTGCAGAGCCCACAGCCAGAGAAGCCTCTGGTCCTCTCCTTCCATGGCTGGTCTGGCACTGGCAAGAACTTTGTGGCCCGGATGCTGGCCAGTCACCTGTACCGGGATGGGCTGAAAAGCGAGTGTGTCAGACTCTTCATCTCACTCTTCCACTTTCCCCATCACAACTACGTGGACTCGTACAAGGTGAGAGCCAACAACACAGTGTTGCTGTGGGTATGGGGTCCACCTGGGATGCAGTCCATTGTCTTCACAGCATTTGGGATTTGTGAGCAGAACAGTGTTGAGAACACAGCAGCGTTATGGCTGCTGCTGAGCATGGTGTGTACAGCATCAAGGCTTTCTCCTCCCATGCTGCCCCTGGGGTTGTAGGTTGGGGGTGTGCAAGAAGAACACACACCAGACAGCTGGCTCCAACTGACCAGAGGGATATTCCATACCATGATGTGTCATGCTTAGCAGTAAAACCTGAGGGGAGGGTGTTTTGGGGCAGGAAGCCATGGCTGAGAGCCTGGCTGGGTATCAGTAGTAGGTGTGATGGCCTTTGCATCAGTTGCTTTGATTTCTTTCTTTCTTCTTTTTCCTTTGCTTATTAAACTGTCTTTCTCTTGACCCACACATCTACTTGCTTTTGCTTTTCCTGTTCTCCGCTGTCCCACGGTGCTTAGCTGCCAGTCAGAGTTAACCCTGGGTAATCCTGAAAGTGAATCCAGGCTCAGCCCTGGTCCAATCTCCTGGTGGCAGTGACTGCTGCTGGGCTTCTCACACCCCTCTCTGCTGCTCTGCAGGCTCAGCTGAAGAAGCAGATAAGTGAGACTATGCAACTCTGTAAGCAGTCCTTGTTCATCTTTGATGAGGCAGAGAAGCTCCATTTTGGCCTCCTGGATGCCCTCAAACCTTTCATGGCTCCCTATGACAAGGGCCAGGTGGATTACCGGAGATCCATCTTCCTCTTCCTCAGGTGATTTCTGGGTCCCCAAAGGGATGGGGAGGAAGAAAGTGATGGAATTTATCCCCTAAAGTGTGTGACATACTCGGGGAGCAAAGCTGGGGCTGCTGGTCTTTGTGGGAAGTTCTTGTACAATGTGGCACTGTTGGTTGGGAGCAGGAGGTGGGGAGTTCCCTGGCTGTGGTTGCAGGCTGAGGTGCCATCTGTCTGCTGTGCTGGGAGGGCTCATCTGACATCCTCTCACCTTGTGGTTTAGTGGTTGAGGTTAGTTGCTTTCCCACCAAGAGTGAGGAAGGATTTTGGCATCCCTAGTGCTATCCTAGGCCTAAGTGGGATGCACAGAGGGAGAGGTGAGACATCTCAGACGTGAGACAGGCACATGCCTGAGGTAGCCAGAGAGAAATGCGAAGGAGAGACAAGCATCTTTGGCCCCCTTCAATTTAGGATTTACAACCTTCAGCTTGGCTCTGGCAAGAGGTGTTCCCACAGGCTGGCAGTGTGCAGAGCATTCCCTCTCCATCTCCCACCATCCAGGAGGCTACTTTCACCTCCAAGCTTGGTGGGTCCCCAAGGAAGCTTCTCTGCCCATGGAGGACCTATACCTGTGCCAGGTGTTTGTGGAGCTGACCACATTTCAGTCATCCCTGCTGGGCCTCCAGCAGGAGCCAGAGTGGGGGAGGCAGATTCTCCCTTGTTGCTCAGGGCAGGGTGGATGTGCTGCTGGCTCTGCTGAGCTGACCTTGTGTCCTGTGTGGCAAGCTGGGCAGGGGCAGTGGGACATCAAACCCATCGTGCCACCAAGCAGAGGGGAGCAGGGTGCCTTGAACTGCAGCAGTGTGTAATCTGTGAGGGTTTCATCACACCTGGTGGCACTGTGACACAGATCTGTTGTAGGAGGGCTGGCTCTGCCCCAGGGCTCCTTTGGACACCAGCCTGGTCCTGCAGCTTTGGCCAGGTTTGGATGATGAGGGTAGAGTGGGACTGACTGGCTCTCCTCAGTCATACAGGGGCTGAGTGGGAGCAGGATCAGTACAAGCTTTCTCCCCTCACAAGCCAGTGCAGGGGGAATGGTGGTGGCTTTTTAATTTTGCCTTCCCCCCATCTGGGGAATGTGCCATAGTGCCTCTGAGCCTCCCATCTACACCAGCCCTGCAGCCAGCTGGTTCCCAGTGTCACCACCTCACTGGTGGCAGGACACCCTGGGGGATGTTGCAAACCCCCCATCAGCACATGGGGGCTGCCTGGCCTTGAGCTGCTTTCCAAGGCGAGGAGCTCCCCTTGGAGCCTCAATGACTGTCCAGACCTCATGTCCCCCACCACAGTGCTGCCCCCACGGTTGGGTTGTCCAGAGGAGTCCTGGGGTGGGACCTGTGCTGCTCTGTCCCTCTGCCAAGTCCTGGGCTGCTGTTTGAATCCCTGCCCTGGACTTTAACTTCTGGTGGGACTCTTGCCATGTGCCCTGTCCTCTGACTTGGACATTCAAGGGTAGCTTGTAAATAGACTGGTGTGGGGCCAAGTGTCACTTGAGAGGTCAATGGCACCCCATCCAGGACAGGGCACTGATGGAGGATTCCACTGGCTCCTGGTTCTGCCCTGGGGGAGAAAGCAGCTGCCCCAGGGTCTGGGCTGGCAGGATGGAAGATAGCTGGATAGATGGCTGTGGAAAGGGTTTTTTGGGGGGAGAAAGCTGGTTCCTCTGCTGATGTTTCATATGCTGACCCTACAAGGCACATCCTTCATTGCCAACAGAATTGCTGAGACCTCTCTGTAGGGGAGGCTGTTGCAGCTCTCAGCTCTGGGGGCACAGCTGAGAAACGTCCCTTCTGTCTGCAGCAACCTGGGTGGCAACACCATCAATGAGGTGGCCCTGGACTTCTGGCGAGCTGGCCGGGCACGGGAGGACATCTCCTTTGAGTTCCTGGAGCGGCAGCTGCGGATGGAGCTGCAGGAGTCTGCAGGTAAGAGCCAGACTCACCTGTGGGGTGCTGTGGGCACGCTGCCCACAGACCTGCTCTGTGTCAGCTCAGGCCCTTTTTACACAGTCCGATCCCCTTGCCAGAGGAGGTTTAAATTGGATATCAGGAGCAATTTCTTCACCCAGAGAGTTGTCAGGCCCTGGCACAGGCTACCCAGGGCAGTGGTGGAGTCATCATCCCTGGAGGGATTTCAAAGATGTGTAGATGCTAGATGGTGCTGAGGGACATGGTTTAGTGGTGGCCTTGGTAGTGCTGGGTGAACAGTTAGACTTGATGATCCTAAAGGTCTTTTCCAACAAAAACAAGTCTATGCTTGTGCTGCATGAGTGCACATGTGCTGTGGAACAAGCCTTTGTTCCAGCCTTCCAGGGTTATTTGCAGCATGGGCCCCTTCCTGCACCAACATGAGCACAGCACTACTGCAGCAGCAAGGCACACAAGGAGGGAGCTGGGAATCCTTCTGGCCTCCCTCAGCCCTGGATAGTGGCCAGGCTGTGACAGGCAGTCCATAGGGAATTATCAAGACTTTTCTGGGGATTCAGGCTTCTCTTGGCCAAGCCATGGTGGTGTTCCATGTTCAGACTAGGTTCTGGCCAGCTCTTGACACATGGGTGTCACTCTTTCTCACCTCTTATGGCTTGATGAGCCTAGACAGTTTCCCCCCCCCCACAAACAGAGATGAGCTGTCCCTCACAGAGGGTTCCCACCTCTTGGATGAAGACTCTGAAGATTTTTTTGGTCTTGCTTTTTGCTACAGAGAACAGTTATGCTCGCAGCCACCTCCTGGAAGAGAACCTGATTGATTTCTTTGTGCCATTCCTGCCCTTGGAGTACCACCACGTGAAGCTCTGCACACGGGATGCTTTCCTGGCCCGGGGACTTCCATACACCGAGGCAACTCTCCACGAGGTGGCCAGCATGATGGTGTTTGTCCCCAAAGAGGAGAAGCTTTTCTCTGCTCAGGGCTGTAAATCTGTATCCCAGCGCATCAATTACTTCCTTCCTTGAACACCAGGTGGAACTACACCAGTGATGGAGCTGGTTCTGCACTCTAGGAGCTGCTCTCCTTGCACTAAGTCAAGTGGGCAGATTACCCAGCACAGGGACAGAGACTTAACCCCTTGTTACTCCAAGGGCTGATTGCAGGGAAGGAGGTGCACCCTGCCCAGCCTTATTCCTGGGACATGGGGATAACCTGTGCTTGAAGTCTGTCTGATGTTTTCAAGTCCCTTCTCTTAGCAGGTAGTAACCTGAAGTGGTGGTTTGGTTGTGCTGACAGAAGCTTTGTTTCACATGAGTGGGGATGTCTAAGTTCCCTGGTTTGTTACCATGTAATGAAGGCTTTGGACAGACTGGTCCTGTTCAGAAGGCCCAGCAGAAGCCACATCCTCATCCCTGACTTCACTTTTCTTGGTCACTTCACAACCTCTCAAACTGCACAGAACTGTTTAGCTGGAGTTCAGGCTTTTCTCTCTTGCTCTCCTGCCTTCACAAGTTGTCTGCTGCTCAGGGACACTCGTGCCAGGATGATGGTTTGTGCAGGGAGGAGGACCCTGTGTAGAGAAAATGACTGAGTATCTCCTCTGGAGATGTCAAATCTGTTGCTTCTCATTTTGGAGTGTCCCTCTCTCAATGGAGTCTTTCGTTGTATGGAAGCAGCTGTGGGGATGAGGTGAACTTCTGCTGAAAACATGTTTCTGAGCAGCTTGGTGAAAAGCCTGTTCACTGCAAAATCAAGAAGGGGAAACTAATTCCCCTTCCAAGGGCTAAGAAGGGCAGTTGAGGAGGATGGTGGCTGAAGGAACAGAGAATTTGGGTTTTCAGGGATGTAGTAAGCTTGGGGTTTTTCCTTTGTTTTTTGATGGGTTTTTTTGGTTGCTATTGGGTTGTTTCTTTTTTGTTTGATTTTGATTATTTTTTTTTTACTTTGTTTTTTTCCTTCAAGTTGCACGGTGTGGTTTTTTTTGGCTGGTATCAGCATTACTACACCGAGGGGCTGTTTGCTGTCTGGGTACTTGCCCAGTGATAAGTAAAGTTACAGCAGGACCAAAAAAATTTCGACAGTGTTACAGGAATCACTTTGTGACCTCTAGGTCAAAACTCCCTTCCAGCACAGCTGGGCTGGGGTGAGGAGGTGAGACAGCACACGCCAGGGACAGGGCTGAGCTCCCTGGACACCCCCTGTGTGGACCTTTGATCTATTTTAAGCTTTGAGCCTGGCTGTGGTGCCAGTGATGAGCAGAGTGACTTTTGGGAAAAGATTGACCAGACACGCTCACTGCTCCTGAGGACTTTGAGCTCGTGTTTCCCTCCAGGGCACGCTGGCTCTGTTATCTAAGCAGGCTTCATAGTCCAAGGCAGCTGCTTTCTCACTGCTCAGCTGAGGCAAGTTTAAGTTGTCACTAGACTGGAACTCAGGGCCTGTGCCAGCGTGTGCTGTTATTGGGTATTTTTAGACTTGGTTTATGGTTAATCTCATTCTTAATCAGCCTGGGAAGGAGCAGAGGGAGATGGACCCAGGAAGGGAGGATGCAGCCCCATAGAAGGACCCAACAAGCTGTGTTTTATAAGCCAGGCAGAAAGTTTAGGAAGTTTTTAGTTAGTGAGCTGAAGTTTAGCTGCTTAGAAGGTTGTATAAACCAGGATAAACCATGTTTATTTTATTTTTTTTTACATGGAAAAGAATCTTCAGCTGCCCAGCATAGGCTTGATGCTGTTTGCAGTGGGAGGGAGTCACTTTATCAGCCGTTTGGCCAGTGTGGGGCTGGTATGAAGTTGGTGTGTTAAGCAGTTCTGACTCTGTTACTGTTTAAGGAGGTCGTGGTGTGACTAACTAGGGCAACGCTCAAACAGTGATGCAAGACCCAGTGCTCTGCAGGTCACACTCATGTGTGTTTGAGTATTGAGTGTTTGATTATGCAACCCCAACAGCAGGATCCACTCTACCCACGCCATGGCAATGTTAGTTTTGATTTAAAGGCATAAATAAAGATCCTGCTTTTCTCTGCAATCTTAACAGAATGAAATTATTTCCCTTCTTTAACAGGTTTATCATTTTCTTTCCTACCCAAAGTAACAAGCTTCAGGTTAGTACCAAGTTACTTCTTTTCCTAAGAAAGAGCAGCACACAGTCAGGTGGTTTTTGCCAATAAAATATTGCAACCTTTATTTAAAACAAAATGCAAATTGGCAAAACTTTGTGGAACAACAGGCAAAGAGGCCCTTCCAAGGGCCTTATTTACATCAAGTTTAACACTGTTCGCAGTTCACAGTCAGACGATAGTGAGAGAATTAAATTAGAAAAAAAACAACCAAAATATATTACAATAACAATTAAAAAACAAAAACAGTTGACAACACTGGTAGAGTGATTGGTGATGAACGTGTTTCATTTTAATCCACTTCCTGCCCTCAATGAGTTCACTACTGACACAAACAGCGTGCTGAGCCGACGGGGCTTTACCCCCTGTGCACAACAGAGACATTTGGAAGAACAACCTCCTTTGGTACAGACATTTCTTACCACGTAGGTATCATAAATAAGTCGGGTGTCCCACAGCCTTGAATTTCCTCCCATGAGGGAAGAGGCTGAAGGATTTGTTCCACACTATAGGCCACTGGAGTGCAGCCCTTCCGTGCTGGACGGTGCCCCCGGCACTGCAGCGGGACTAGTCGCTACCCTTGGGTTTTCCTCTGGGGAGCAGCAGGGTTGGGCTGAGTGCTTTGAAGAGAAGGCAGCAGCCTGATACTTTTGCAAAAAAAAAAAAAGATCTTTCTGGATCCATGAGTGCTTGTCACAGCTGCTGCTGCTGCCTGGGAGCACTGACAGATGGGATGCAGAGCGCCAGGGTGCGGGGAAGCCTGTCACAGGTAAGTGGTGCAGACATCTGGGTCTGCTTCTTTATGACTGCCCAGTGTGACCTATCCTGCCTGCTCACACAACCACTGCCTGGCAGGGGATGCTGCTCTGGTAACACAGCAGTTCTGGGGCAGCCCCACACTGTGGGGTTTAGTTCCCACTGCCCACGAAGAGCTGTGTGCCAAAAAACTCTTGCCTAGGCATGCTGGACGGTAAGTCAAGGGTGTGTGTGTCCTTGTCACACCTACATGAGGCTGGTGGTGCTCAGGAGACAGGTCCCAGGTGAGGAGGATGGAAGCAGGCAGCCCCCTTTCCCCGCTGTGTTCTGCATCAGCCACACTGCTCCATTCAATTCTGCTTTCTCAGCAGCTAAACTAGATGCAGTCCCAAGACCCAAACTCTTAATTCAGCTTCACCCCTATCCCCACTAATGAAAACTATTATGAAGTTGAAGTGCTGCCAGTCAGAGCAGCTGAGTGTACCACTTTGGGGCTAAAAAGGGTGTACAGTGCAGGAAGAAAAGAGAAATTGCACTTGTGAGGTGGCCAATTCCCCACAATAGCTTGGAAGAGAAACTGCTCCACGTGGACTCACTCGTGTGAGCAAGTGTTGTGCTTGGTGTTACTGCCCCTATGTGCTGCCATCCCCTGATGCAAAGAAGGTTACTTCCTATTCTTGCCCGTGCTAGTGCAAGTGAGACAGCCTGGCTGCAATTGCATCCTCACCCCATAGGGCTGCCTGACAGTGGTGAGGAAAGAAAACACAAACAGGAGTTCATGCCTTGACCCTAACCTCAAGAGTGGAGTAAGAGGTGCTCTTCATGGGGCAAATAACAGAGCTCCACCATCCTTATGTTACACTGGATGTGCTGTGTAAGGCTGAAAGGTAGTGCAGCAAGGTGCTGCACTAGAGACTTAAGGCTGCATAGAAAGCCAGAACTAGCAGAAGGGAGAAGGGAACAAATTTAGGAGAGTAGCTGTGGAAGGATGAACAACTGAATGGTGATTTACAGCAGAACCAGCTTTCAGCTACCCTGCCAGAGGGCGGGGAAGAATTCCAGTTTGGGAATAAAACACTGTTGGGCAGCAGAAGCAGCAGCAATTCTGCAGCCTCCTATTTAGGGGGACAAAATCCCAGTGTCAAGTTAGTGCTGCCTCTGCCACCATCTACCTCCCTGATGCTACTAGGACCATAGGTAAGAGCAGAGCAAACAATCTCCATGAGTGACGACAAGAAATCTCCAGATTCCACTGTTGTTTCTTCTCCACTGGAGGGATCAGAACTGAATGGGTTTCTGTGTTGCCCAGAGAGGTTGTGGAGTCTCCATCTGTGGAGATGATACTCAAAAGCCAGCTGGACATGGTCCTGGGTGGCAGCTGTAAGTGGGCCCTGCGTGAGCAGGGGTTTGGTCCAGGTAACATCCAGAGGTCCCTGTCACAGAGGTACTGCTCATTGTCTCTTCCCTGGGGAGAAGAAACCAGCTGCCTCTGAAGGGAAGTGGGGATGACCAGTGGAGGGGAACCAGACCTTTGTGGGGGCACAGTTTCTTTGGAAGGGTGAGAAAGGGCTGAAAGAGAGGAGTTGTAGTAGTTAAAAATTCCAGCAATTGTTAGCTACTCTGTCACTTTTGCTGGAGCTTTTCTGGAAGCCTGGCATGGGGTGGAGAAGGCTTCTTTCAAAAATATTCATCAGAACTGGACTAGTAGCCTTAAAACTTTCTGGTTAAAATACCTTTCCCCTGAGAATCACTTCAGTTTCAGTCTGTCTGTGATAGTAGTACAGTGATGAAACCACATGATTGTCTGCCAGGGCAAACAAGACCTGTCTTTCTGCCCCCAAAAAAGCTCCCCTGCCTTTCCACCGAGTACTGGTTGTGAAGCAATTCCACAAGCTGCCTTCCCTTTGCAGGTCACCTTCCCAAAAGCCATTAGTTTGGTGGGCAGCAATGCACACCTTCCATTAAGATGCCTGAAAGAGATAAAGCACAAAAGCCCTCAGCAAAAGGTGATAAAAAGTGTAGGTCATAAGAGTTGGGTGCTCAGCTTCAGGGCTGAGGTTGCTGTGACAGAGCCTCAGGAGAGTCCCCCCTGCCCCACTGACCTGAGGCAAGTTGAAGATCCTACAGCAGGCTTTGTTGGGAGGGCTGGGTGCTACTCAGGCAGGATGAGTAACTTGCATTTGTCTCTACTTCAGTGCCACCAGCTCAGTGCAGTAAAACTAATTCACTTTAATGCCTGTCAGTTGGGGGGGGGGCGTGGTGCTTTCTTCCTCCCCATTTCGCTTATGTGGAAAGTGTAGCTCATATCATCTGGTTTACCTGCTGTACTGTTCCACTGGTGCACATTCAGGTGTTGTGACACAACTTTGTTTACTGCAGACCAGTAGTAATACGAGGATTCTTAGCTACCAGCCCATTTCTGAAGATCTGCCAGGCCACTGTTTCATTATGCTCTATGGAAAAAGACAGGGACACTCTCTGAGACAGCCCACTCTGCTTCCAAGCACTAACAGGCAATGGTTCTAGAAGGAAATGGAAGTGCCCAGCTTCTAAACTTGCACCTGTGCTCCAGCCCAACTCTAAATGCTCAACCTAAAAGCAGCACAACCACACTTTAAGAACAAGTTAAAAAAGCCTTTTAGCCAAAAGTTACAAGATTTAAGGTGCAAAGCAAGCCAGATCCTCTTTCATCACCACTAGTGTGAAGTGAGCAGCAGCATGCAGGGTAATATGTATTTGGAGCCAGGTACCAGGCCTGTTTCCTTCTCTCAAAGCAACAGTTGAGGTTTTCCTCCTTGCCAGGACAGTGACATCTTGGGGACTTGTGCGTAAACACAGCAGACTGGCCCTTGGAGGCCACAGCAGCCTACAAACAGCACTAGGATCAAGGAATGCAGCTTCAACCAGGTAGCTGCTTTCATTCTGGGATTGTCAGTAGGCACTGGAGGCTATAACCTAGGAGGAGCTCTCTGAGGCAGAGCTGGGACACTTGTCCTGTCCCAGGGAGAGGAGTGAGCCGTGTCTGTGCATGTTCCTCAGGCCACAGCATGAGTCTGGCCTAGCCTTTAAGATACAGGAATCCATTTTAAAAAAACATGGCTGTGATTAGCCTGTGTGCTGACATACCTGGTTACCTTCACATGCAGAGAAGCTGAAAGCCTCTGAGACTGGTAAGCACTAGGACAAATCCCAAGAAGCCACAGATGTAAAATGTTAGTGTTACGCCAAGAGGAGGGACTGGTCCAGGGAATCCTGCAGCAGGCAGGGTGTGTGGCAGGCCAGGCTGCACTGTCTGCCTCTTGGGTGGGTCCCGCAGCACTGTGACCACTAAAGGAATGCAGGGAAGAGCCAGGTGTGGTGGAGGTTCTGCCTTACCTACTGTGGGACCTCAAGGTGATGAATCAGAATTGGGGAGTCAACCCAAGAACAAGTTATAACAATCTAGAGCTTAAAAAAACAACAAACCAAACCACCCACCCCAAGAACAACACTGGCAAGTTGTGCAAACGCCCCCAACTACTCACAAAAAGACCATCAAGCAGCACCTGTGCTCGACCACTAGAAGTATCAACAGAGTGAAGGCTGTGGTGGGGAAGGGGTATTCCAGTGGTAAGCCTGCCCAGCATCCCTGACGCTTCCGATACAACGAAGATGAGAACATGTGGTGGATGAGGTGGACAGGAGGGAAAAGGGAGAGGTTCATATCGTAACAAATTTTGCAGTTCTCATTACAGCAGCAACAGTGCTGTGGAAGCCATCTGGGCTAGTGCATCCACCTCCAGCAGCTCTGAATACTGTCAGTGCATTCGACCTGTCCCCTGCAGAGCTGCTCCAGCTCAGACTGCTTGGTACCAACCCAGAGGCTCCTCTGCCTGGTCAGGAGGCCACATCATGTGTCAGTGCAGACAGGGGAGGCTCCGTACAGCCGAGCAGCCTGCAGCCACTCTGGCACTCCAGCTATCCCACGTCAAGCCATCCTTCCCAGAGCAAGAACCTGCTATCAGTTCTCCTGCCTCTCCAAGGGAGCAGCAAGGAACATCCTTCCCTCGCCATACCAAGCAGATTAGACTGATTAAGTAGGGACAAACACTCGGTGTTCTGCCCCTTACAGCTTTCACCTGCCCTCTCTCCATCCCCATTCTTTTTTTTTTTTGAGATGAACCTGTAAACGTGAGGAGAACTCAGTGATCTGAGGTACTTCACAGACTCAAGTATCAGTCTTTCCTTTTGAAAGCATCAGTACAGAAGAAAAGTCCCTCCCCCTCCCCCTGTGTGTGTTTCTCTTACCCCAACTGACAGTAGCTACCTTTGCACCACGTCGCTGATTTCCTGGACACATGACAATAAGTTATTAGGGACGGGGTTTGCCCCAGGGGCACTAGCAGCTGTTGAGGACACCTGCAGCTCCTGCAGGCTGAGTTCCAGTTTGCTCACGGCTTCCCGGAAGGCGAATTTGTTGCGTGTGTGGGGGATGCAGTCCACGTAGCCTGAGCAGTAATCCAGCAGCTGGTGCCCCGTGTCCACCAGCTGGCTGTTGGGCGTGTGCTCCAGCCCAACTCTAAATGCTCAACCTAAAAGCAGCACAACCACACTTTAAGAACAAGTTAAAAAAGCCTTTTAGCCAAAAGTTACAAGATTTAAGGTGCAAAGCAAGCCAGACCCTCTTTCATCACCACTAGTGTGAAGTGAGCAGCAGCATGCAGGGTAATATGTATTTGGAGCCAGGTACCAGGCCTGTTTCCTTCTCTCAAAGCAACAGTTGAGGTTTTCCTCCTTGCCAGGACAGTGACATCTTGGGGACTTGTGCGTAAACACAGCAGACTGGCCCTTGGAGGCCACAGCAGCCTACAAACAGCACTAGGATCAAGGAATGCAGCTTCAACCAGGTAGCTGCTTTCATTCTGGGATTGTCAGTAGGCACTGGAGGCTATAACCTAGGAGGAGCTCTCTGAGGCAGAGCCGGGACACTTGTCCTGTCCCAGGGAGAGGAGTGAGCCGTGTCTGTGCATGTTCCTCAGGCCACAGCATGAGTCTGGCCTAGCCTTTAAGATACAGGAATCCATTTTAAAAAAACATGGCTGTGATTAGCCTGTGTGCTGACATACCTGGTTACCTTCACATGCAGAGAAGCTGAAAGCCTCTGAGACTGGTAAGCACTAGGACAAATCCCAAGAAGCCACAGATGTAAAATGTTAGTGTTACGCCAAGAGGAGGGACTGGTCCAGGGAATCCTGCAGCAGGCAGGGTGTGTGGCAGGCCAGGCTGCACTGTCTGCCTCTTGGGTGGGTCCCGCAGCACTGTGACCACTAAAGGAATGCAGGGAAGAGCCAGGTGTGGTGGAGGTTCTGCCTTACCTACTGTGGGACCTCAAGGTGATGAATCAGAATTGGGGAGTCAACCCAAGAACAAGTTATAACAATCTAGAGCTTAAAAAAACAACAAACCAAACCACCCACCCCAAGAACAACACTGGCAAGTTGTGCAAACGCCCCCAACTACTCACAAAAAGACCATCAAGCAGCACCTGTGCTCGACCACTAGAAGTATCAACAGAGTGAAGGCTGTGGTGGGGAAGGGGTATTCCAGTGGTAAGCCTGCCCAGCATCCCTGACGCTTCCGATACAACGAAGATGAGAACATGTGGTGGATGAGGTGGACAGGAGGGAAAAGGGAGAGGTTCATATCGTAACAAATTTTGCAGTTCTCATTACAGCAGCAACAGTGCTGTGGAAGCCATCTGGGCTAGTGCATCCACCTCCAGCAGCTCTGAATACTGTCAGTGCATTCGACCTGTCCCCTGCAGAGCTGCTCCAGCTCAGACTGCTTGGTACCAACCCAGAGGCTCCTCTGCCTGGTCAGGAGGCCACATCATGTGTCAGTGCAGACAGGGGAGGCTCCGTACAGCCGAGCAGCCAGCAGAGACTCTGGCACTCCAGCTATCCCACGTCAAGCCATCCTTCCCAGAGCAAGAACCTGCTATCAGTTCTCCTGCCTCTCCAAGGGAGCAGCAAGGAACATCCTTCCCTCGCCATACCAAGCAGATTAGACTGATTAAGTAGGGACAAACACTCGGTGTTCTGCCCCTTACAGCTTTCACCTGCCCTCTCTCCATCCCCATTCTTTTTTTTTTTTGAGATGAACCTGTAAACGTGAGGAGAACTCAGTGATCTGAGGTACTTCACAGACTCAAGTATCAGTCTTTCCTTTTGAAAGCATCAGTACAGAAGAAAAGTCCCTCCCCCTCCCCCTGTGTGTGTTTCTCTTACCCCAACTGACAGTAGCTACCTTTGCACCACGTCGCTGATTTCCTGGACACATGACAATAAGTTATTAAGGACGGGGTTTGCCCCAGGGGCACTAGCAGCTGTTGAGGACACCTGCAGCTCCTGCAGGCTGAGTTCCAGTTTGCTCACGGCTTCCCGGAAGGCGAATTTGTTGCGTGTGTGGGGGATGCAGTCCACGTAGCCTGAGCAGTAATCCAGCAGCTGGTGCCCCGTGTCCACCAGCTGGCTGTTGGGCGTGGGCTCGGCGATGGCGCTCGACAGGAGATCCGCGCACTCCAGCAGCGCTTCCTTGCTGATTTTGTCGGCGGAGATTTTCTCAGCTGCCTGTTTGGTCTTTCGTAGCGTGACTTTCGCTCCGGCCGAGCCATTGGCCATTTTCACCGGGGAGGTGGAAGACGAGGACAGAGGCACTTGAGGTGGAGGCACCACCGGCCTCCCAGATTTTCCACCAACAGGTGCTGCTGCTGCTGCCGCCTTCTTAGTCCCTTCGCTGGATTCCAGTCCTTGCTGCGCTCCCGCCACGTTGTTCAGCTCTTCTGCTGCCTCAGAGCAGGCAGGTGGCTGTTGCAGGAGCCTCATCACTGGTGGTGGAGGTGGAGCACACTTTGGTTTTACCCGTCTGGGCCGGTCCCTGTCGCCAGAAGAAGTGACCTGATGCTCAGATAAGAGCTTAAATTTATTACCCTGAGAGTCTGTGCCAATGAGCTGCACGTCTGCTGGAGAGTGTTTTAGAGTGGGTGAGATTAGGACTGGCACTTTGTGGTTATGAGTGGTTGGAAGTATTGCTGCAGCCTTTACTGGAGATGACCACCCCGGTCTCTCGCCATCCTCAGGGACCACTTGACGTGGGCCACTGTTTTTTTCTTTGCCCTTAGGAGCTGCTGCTAGCCCTGGACCCTCCTTTTCTTCTGATCCAGAGGGGGCTCGGAAAGGGAGCGCTGTGGCGCCCCTTGGCAAGAGTTTGGCTTTTGGTCTCTCTCTGGTCAAGGCAGGGCCTTCTTCAAACCTTTTGGGAAGCAGGTCATTGGCCCTCCCTGTGCTCTCATCGGGCTGAGAGGAGGTGGACACTGTCCGTTCCAGCTGCATTTTTGACCTCTGGGAATTTCTGGGCAGGGTCATTGCCATCCTATCCTGCTCTGGAAGCCCTGAGGACATGGAAGATGTAGAGTTTGACCTTGGAAAAGGCTTTGAAGCTTCTTCATTGCCAGTGGGTTTTCCCGCTCGTAAACCCAGTGTCTTTTTAATCAAGCGTGGTGTGAAGAAGCCAGTGATGCCCGACCACCCACCACCAGTGCTTATGCCCCCACCACTGCTGGTACCAGTGCCATCATCATTGTAGAAGGTCCTCTGCACAAAGCCCCCACCATAGCACTTGGGTGGTGCCAGGCTTGCATCCTGCTGCACGGGAGGTAGAGAGAACCCATCCACCTGCTGCAAGGAAGCAACAGATGAAAAGTTACCCGTCAGCTCGTATTTCTTATGGGGCTGATTCTCCATCTCCCGGAAGGAGCTGCTGCGCTTGGGAGGTGTGGGAGCGTTCCTCTTCTTCATGAAGGAGCTGAAGAAGCCACCTTTTCTGTCCCTGGTGAACGTGGTCTCTTTGGCATCCTCCAACAGGCTGCTGGGTGACTTGTCCCTCTGCTTGCGGGGCAGCGCGGGAGACCCGCCTGCTGGCTGTGAGCTTCTGATGAAACCTGGGCAGAGGAAACACGGGTGAGTCTGCAAATCAATTCCCATTTCCACTTCCCTATCCTGCAGTGGGATTTATGGGCCTGGCATATTTAAGCTGCCCAGGTTCTGCAGAAATAGGTTGAGAGGGGAAAGTCAGCACGTTGATTTTTTGTGCAAAGCTGGTGTGATTTTGATCTTTTTTTAACTTTTTCCCCCACTTCTGCATGCATGACTTGTCTGGTGTCTACACAGAGGAGGCCACTTAGGAGGGAGTTCAGGAGAAAGGGAAGTTGCTCTTTTCTTCCAGTTTCTTATTCCCTTCCTGTAGTGGTGTTTGTTTTTTTTCCTCCATCCCTAAATGTCACAAGTATAAAAGAAAACCTCTTGTTGAATTGTCAACTTGAGCTTTGAAGGTGTCATTTACAAAAAAAGCAGCTGAACTAAACTGAAAAGGAAAAAAAATGGGTTTACTTAAAGAACATTGAACATCCTGCACTGGTTTCTATTTGCTAGGACAGTAAATTAGGCTGCTGAGGTGGCCAACAGCCCTAATGACACAGCAGCACAAAGCACCTTCCCACACCATATTGTTCTGTTTTCTAGCAATTCCCACCAGCACCAAACTTGTCCCAGGACATGTGGCCTCACTGTCCCAGTGCCCATACCTGGTGCTGAGCTGGAAGTTGAGTGTTCCACAGTATCTTGTGTTCCTTCAATGTTCTCCTTGTTCTCTGCCTGTTTCTTCAGTGTTCTAGTCTTGGAGGGAAGCATGGGTAACCGAGGCAAGTAAGGAACTATGGATGAGGAGGAAGCTGTTCTTCCAAGCTCCTCTGCTACCTCTGTGAGGGGAAAAAAATAAAAAGTTTGAAAAATACTTGGAACAGAGACTGGCAGTGGAGAGGAAAAAAACCCCAGGTCATTACTGCAAACCTAGACTGGCAAGAGGAGACGCATAACTGAGAATTATGTATGTTTATGGGTTTAGTTTTTGCTCAGGTCCACAAGTATTCAGGACTTGATGTTTTTCCTAAGACTTTCATTTATGTCTTTGTAAATTCAGAGAAAAAGAAACAGGGGTAGGATCTGCACAAGAAGTCTGGTACAAACCCAGCTCTCTGCTAGGCCAAGGGTTGCTCAAGAACTAAAGACAGCAGTGAACATATTTGCCTCTTGTTTTTAATTAAGGTGCCTGCTGTGGATGCTTCTGGGATCCCCCACAAATTGTGTCCTCTCCAGATCTAAAGGTGCTCTGCTTGAGGCAATTCCCTCCACCTCCCTGTTGGAAACAAAGACTGCATGTTTCCTTCCCAACATCAACACAAGGTATGTGACTGAAAAACACTGGAAAAAGCCACAGCCTCCTGGTCACATCCAGGCTGGCATTTGTGGGGGGCACTTGATGTGCCTACTAGAGATCCTCTCAGTTAGAACTCAATCTTGTGTGTTTTTTTCCACAGTAGGGAATTGGATGAATCTGCTTCATATTTAATTAAAAAAAAAATAATAGAAGATGCTGCAACTGTTCTGCTTGTCTTTTATCACACTTCTCACCAGTATTTACCTTCTAGTTGATTGCTTTTGAGAGTTGTACAGATATGCTCCTAGAAGCAGCTAAGTAGAAAATCCAGAGATTAAAGCACACTTTTTAAAAATTAAAGCTGATAGAATAAAATTTCATTACCTAATTGCTTCAGTCAGCAGTGGACTGTGACCTGCAAACATCTTTCAGCATCATTCACTATTCCTTACTCTACAGTCTAGTAAAGAAGAGGCTTCCTCTAACAGAGGAGACTATATTCTTAATTCTTTGGCATCTTGGTGCTTTAATGAATTACTATATTGTATATATGTCTGGTATATGTCTAAAGTTTATTCAGTATTTGTGCACTGATTAAAAGCATGTATTTGCAGACATAGTTAAGAAATTAATTAAGGGACAAAGCCTCTCAACCTCCATAGCTAGCAGATAAGCCTGAAGAGCCCATCCACAGGAGACAGCTCTCTGGGGTATAAATTCCAGTGCTGATTCAGAAATAAAGCAACAGGGGCTCTCTTGAAACTGCTTGAAAGAGTCCAGGGCAGAGGCACAGAGATGCTGGAGGGAGGGGAACATCTCCCTGCTGAGGAAAGGCTGAGGGAGCTGGGGCTGTTGGGCTTGGAGAAGAGGAGACTGAGGGGCCACCTCATCCCTGGTTACAGATCTGTTCAGGGCAGTGTCAGGAGGGCAGAGCCAGGCTTTGTGCAGGGATGTCCAGTGATAGGACAAGGGGCAATGGGTGCAAACTGGAGCCCAGGAGGTTCCATGTGAACATCAGGAAGAACTTGTTTGCTGTGAGAGTGACAGAGCCCTGGGCCAGGCTGCCCAGAGAGGCTGTGGAGTCTCCTTCTCTGGAGACATTCCAACCCCCCTGGCCACGTTCCTGTGTGATGTGCTCTGGGTGCCCCTGCTCTGGCAGGGGGGCTGGACTGGGTGAGCTTTTGAAGTCCCTTCCAACCCCTAGGATTCTATGATTCTATGATTCTCACCCTCTGAGATGCTGGAGTCATGGAACATGGTTTCAAAGGCCTGGTGGGTCTCAGCAAAGGAAGGTCGGTCTGGTGGGTTCCACTTCCAACCTGCAATGGGAGAAGTAGAGTAAGTCTCACTGTCTGAAACAGGTAGGGGATTTTTTTTGTTGTATCCAAGGAGACAGAAAATATATCTTTTCTCAACTACAGTCAGACTCTCATCTCCTACCATTAAACAGGCTTAAGAGTCATTCACAGATATTTCCAGCAGCAGTCACCCTACTGTATCCTAAAAAATAGGTCTCAAGAGGAAGGAATCAGTTCTAAACATCCCAGTTGTGTGCCAACTCCTCAGCTTTCTCTGATCTCCCTGTCCCTCTTCCTAATATTTTTTTTGCAAAGAAGAGTCCCATGTTTGCTACCCTGGCTGTTTGAACTGAACTCATCTAACCCAGTCACAGATAACTGTATGTGAAAAGCTCCAGGCAACGTTCTGCTCATACTGAAATTCAGTCAGAGCCTTCAAAAAGGAGAATGTGTGCAGCTTGTGAGGGGACAGGGGAGGAGAGGGCACTGCTCCAAGATGGAGCTAGGAAAGTTATGGAAGGGTATCCTGGTGAAAAGTGTAATTTCTGTAGCTGACATCTGCACTAGGGGAATGCATTCTGGAAGCACTATCTGCTGATATCACAAGAGGGTCTGGAAGTGACTGGCATTCTGCTCATATTGGGCTGCATTAATATAATTCCCTGCTTTAGGGTTTTTTTCAGCTTCCTGTTGTTTGTGAAACAATATCCTTTATTGTTACTCAGCTTCCTTCTTTCCTAACTGCAGTTCACCTTGACTTTCTTGGCCATGCTGGTGATCAGGCTGGTCCCCTTGGTCAACAGCATGTTTTGCTCCCTAGGATCTTCAGTCTTTTGCCCAACAGGTTCTCTGTTCTAGCAGGACTGAAGGAGATTGGCAACACTCTTAAACTCTGTTGCTCTCTTCCCACAGCACACTGTATCTTTTGGTCTTTTATTAGTAGATTTTCAATTTGTTATGGAGCATGAGGGAGCTTTTCATGGCCAATACTAAGTAACATGCTTAGAGGATTGGTTTTGCACAGCCTTGTCAACTACATGTTCCCTGCACAGGTGCTGTGTTTGCAGAGAACTAAATCTTCTTCTAATTTGGTTCTTCCACAGTCTACTGACAAACTACCAGGACTGTTTGCCACAAAGTGCTACCTAACTGTACTCAGAGATGGCAGTTTTTAAAAGTGAATTCTTTTTCCCTAGAGACCATCCTCATTTTGCATCAGTAACCAGGTATGTCTTAGGTGACAGGGCTTTTCCCACACTAGCTAACAAAACAGCACTGAGCAGCAAGGACCTCAGAGTTAAATACAGATTTTTCCTACCCTTCCCAGGCTTTGTCCCCCAGATTAGAAGAAGATACTCACATGCCCTCATCAGTTCATAAACCTTTGGAGGGCACCCCTCTGGTTGTTCCATCCGATAGCCCTTTTCCAGCAGATCATACACCTGAGAGAGGTCAATGCCTGGGTATGGTGACATCCCATAGGTAGCAATTTCCCATAACAGCACCCCAAAGGCTGCAAAAGGAGGAAAACAAGATTCCTGGTCATAAATCTGCCCTCCCCTTGCATTGCTCGTTACATTGCGGCCTGTACAGCAGCTTGAGGAGGCATCATCTTCTTGCAGATAGTTCAGGCCAGCCTAGGTGAAGACATTACATGCTAAAAATGCTGATGGTTCATGAAGTTGTGGCCTCGCTTTGTGACTGTCTCCCCCTCACATATTTCTGTCTGAGCTAGAAAGCAAATTACTGTCTAGGCTGGCAGAGAAAAAATGAAAAAGAACATTGAAGTGGAGTTGTCTTACCCCACACATCCGATTTGATGGAAAAGGTGTTATAGGCCAGGCTCTCAGGAGCTGTCCATTTGATTGGGAACTTGGCTCCAGCATGAGCTGTGTAGGTATCTCCAGTCATAAGGCGACTTAAGCCAAAGTCAGCCACCTTCACCACATGATTTTCTCCAACTAAGCAGTTCCGTGCTGCCAGGTCCCTGTGCAAAGGAAAATAAGCACATTCCTTTACTGGAGCAAGAGCAGGACTTTTGAATACAGTCTTGTGGTTCCTGAATAAGGAAACCCTCTATAGCTGAGTTTTGCTCTGAGCTGTGTCAGAAATTGGCTGACTTGTTCTCAGGAGCAGTAAGGTAAGCCAGGATTAGGGTTCAAATTCTGTTACATTTCCAGTACTGATAGCTGTTATGATGGGAAGCTTATGTTTCCTGAGAATAGGGTGCAATCAGCAGCTTATCACACACAATAGCAGCTTCATGGCATGGTTTTATCTCACTGGAGTAAAACAAGGCTTGGGGTTGACAGTGTCTGACATATAGGGGGTACATCAGAACAGGGCAACAGCAACTTTCATAGCTGTCAGGCAGCTGGGCGCAAGATTTTAAGTCTTTTATGAAAGTCACAGGGGAAGGTATTGCAGGACAGTATTGAAACCAGAACAATCAAAGGAGAAGCCAGTGTGAAACCTATCTTTGGAAGAAACATCCCCAAATGAGGAATTCCTGGGCCACTGTGCTGCTGGCCTGTTCAATCACTGCAGTCTGAAACCGGACCAGCTTGACATGACTTTACCCACCTGTGAATGAAGTTCTTCTTCTCCAGGTACTCCATGGCAGAGGAGATCTGGGTGGCCATGTAGAGTAGCACAACAGCACTCACTTCCTCCCGATTGCATTCCCGTAAATAGTCGAGCAGGTTCCCATATGGCATGTATTCTGTCACAATGTAAAAGGGTGGCTCCAGGGTACACACACCTAGCAGTAGGAGGAGGGAAGATGTGAATAAAGCTTCCCTTTCTCCCTAGTTTACCACTCTTTCTGATTTAGTATCCATTTGTTGCATTTTGTAGCGATGTTTCCCTGAAAAGCGGAGACTTCCATCTCAAGACCCAGATCAATGCTGCCCAATTGAAAATTCAGAGCTTCCATCTATTTACCCTGTTCATCCACTTTATGGATGGAGAGAAGCAGGCCCATCAAAGCAGCACTGTTCCTATTTTATACACCTGAAGGAGTAGTGCTGTTCTTCAGACAGTTACAGAATGAAATAAGAGCTATTTTGAACACATATGACTTCCTTTTCTTCCCCTCTCTTCCTTCATAAAGCTAAAGAGGGACCAATTGGACACAGGTACCTGTCAACTGGCAAGATTTCCAGACTGAAATGTCACTACAGAGTAATGTGAAGCACTCCCATGTGTGCTGGCAGGCAAGTAAGTGATCAGCACAGTGGGACCTGCTCCTAAAGCAGCATTCTCACACATTCCTGGGATGACTACTTGCTACAGTCATCACAGTTATGTACCAAGTATGTATCAGTGGAGGAGGAGGAGGAGGGCAACAGGATACTCATGTCAAATCTCTCTGAACTGCCCCTGCAGCTCTGCTGGAGGCCTGCTCCTACCCTTACAGGGGTAAAACACAACTATGCTGTGCACCAGAAAGAGCAAAAATGCCTCTCTTTGATGAGAGAGCTCTTACTCTCTACCCCTGGAACCAGACAGGGCTAGGCAGACACTTCATCTGTGTCCATTTTTTAAATGGGTACAGAATAGTTGCCATTATTAAAAGCCTTCACATTCCTCACATTTCTCCTTTCATCCTAGGCTTGGTTTGACAGCTTTGCTCCTGAAAGCAGCAAAAGTCCAGAGGCAATTGAACACTAGGAAAGCTTTAGGGTGTCTCCTTAAGAATCTTTGTACATGTAGAATTAACAGCTATGCAGCCTATTTCATAGTGATCATCATATTCTGCATTTGCCAGTGAGACAAACAGGGCACAGCCAGCCTGTACTGCCTGCAGATTTCTTCTGTTCATGTGCTGCTTGATCTGACTTGCATCTCCACTGCCTTGATCTCATTGACTTATTTGGTGTGACACAAGGGGTCCATTATGACAGCAGCAATCTGGTGGTCTTCTGCTTCATTAGGGACTAATTTATTCTAATCAGTGCTGCTTTTTCTATAAATGCCTCTGATCTGAGAAATTTGAAAAACACTACTTGTTGTGCTTCCAATATCTTTTTTTTTTCCTTTGGCTATTCTTGTCATTTTTGTTCTATCAGAAAAAATAAGTTGTGGGAAATAATTTTGAAAATCTGATTTAACACAGCAGAAAAGGAATCTGACCCTGATAACTGAACCCTGGAGCATGCTGAAGGCTAAGGGTACAATCTAAGAGGACTGATATTGCATACTTGGCTATAATGCATAGTTGTGCCTCAACAGCAAAGCTGCCTGCTCTAAGTGACTATATTTGATGTTTCATTTAGAATTAGTGTCTCTTGGCTCCAATACTATATAAATAAGTAAACTGTCAAAAATACCATCCCAGAACCTGATGTGATTTTTAAAGTGATATAAATACTGAAAATCTGCCACTGCTTTGAGCAAGACATTTTCTTTTGGTGGAAAGAACAGAAAGAGCAAGGAATTTCACTCACCTAACAACTGCACTAGGTTTGGGTGCTTGATCTCCTTCATCACAGCAGCTTCTTTCAAGAACTCCTCCACCTCCATGGTATCTTCCTAGATAAACAGAGAGGCAAAAGGAGAAAATTCATCTTCATGATGATGGATTCAAGGACTGCTGAACACCACACATCATAGCTGAAGATAAATAATGGCATCCTTGTCTCCATTCTGCTGGTTTGACTTTGGTAAAAGCAAAATATAGCCCTGAAAAGCTGGCTGGCCTGTGGCATGGCTAAGTGACAGACCTGCAGTACCCAGAGAGCACTAGGCTTTCTTGTCTGATAGTTATTGTGCCTGCCAAAGCAGTTGTGGCTGGGGAGGGGAAGACTCTCACTATCACTGGCTTAGCTCCCCTACCTAGCTATAAAAATTAAGCTTGAAAGCTTAGGGGGTACATAGAATTGTAGGTGTTAATGCTGAAACATCAGAAGGTTTTGAAAAGGAAGATAAATGGAGAATCTGAATTTCTCCAGGAGTAGGGGAGAGGTTGTAGAAGATACTTCCAATACCTTTGAGTTCTTAAAGCTTCCACAGCTCTTCAGAGGGAAGGGAAGTGGACTGGGCATCCATTTCTACAGATCTGACTTGGGACATTCCTGCAGGAGCTTACTGGGCCCAAATGTCAGTTGTTTCTAAGCCAAAGTTTGATAAGCTGACTTTGTTCTGCAAAGCTACTCTCAAGCGTGGATTTTATAGAGAACAGCATGTTCCATTTTCTGATACTCAGATCATTAGAGATATAAGTGAGAACATTGCAATTTCCTTATTCTTATCATAAATGGTGACCAAACAGTGTGTAACAATCTGAAACCTCACCTTTAATGTTTTCACAGCAACTGTGAGGTTGTATTTCTTCCAGACACCGACGTACACCTCGCCGTACTGCCCTCCCCCCAGTTTGTGCTTCATGGTGATGTCAGTCCTCTCCATCTCCCACTTGTCGTGGATGGGGGACACTCCATAGACAGTGGGCTTATTGCACTTGGGTGCTGGGTAATGCAAAGTTGTCACCAGTCCATCTGCTACTGTGGAGTGATGGTGCACCAGCTCTGCCAGTGTGCTGAAACGGCTTTCTGCTGTCACGTATACCTGTTAAGGATGAACCAGAATCTACTTAAATGAAGGCAGCTGCAAGATTTCAGTAACACTGGGAAACAGGTACAGTAAAAACATTCTAGCAGGTTTAAAAAAAAATAAAAGAAACTAACAAGCAGGTAAGGGGATCAAATTTTAGAGTGTTTATTCCCAAATTTTAAAGTATTCATTCCCAAATTTTAGAGTATCTATTCCCAGGTTGTTGGGCAAATTAATACTAATCTGTGGAATTTTTTACCTGCAGAGGACTGCTAGATATAAGCTATCACTTGAGAGCAGTTCTGGCTCCTGCCTGATGCTTTCCAGGACTAGAAACTGCAATTCTTGCACTTGGCTGCAAAGCCAGTTTCTGCATCACTCAACACATCAGACTGTTATTTGATCAAGGTTTCAAAACGATGATCAAAACTGCTGACTTCCCAAAGCTCTGGTTGTTCTGAGTGGATCAATGGAGAGATAGCACATCAAGCCACAACTGCTTTGCTCCCTAGCTGCTGTCAGCCAGGGTAAGTACTGTCTGCACTTCCTCCAAAGTGGTGTCCCATGAGTCACCACCGAACACTTGGAACGTGTTCTTTATTTAAATAAATCAACCAGTGGACCCATTTTCTGCCTCACCCACCCCTCTCTTAACAGTCTACGACTTGAGATTCTGTGCCACCTCTTCATAACCTTATTTCCTCTCCTCACAGCGTTATCCAGAGATCCTTACCTTTCCATCTGAGGTGGTATTGATCCTGTAGTGGTAAACACGTCCCTCGTACCTGAGCGAGATGGACAGCTGCCCTGGGCTGCTCTCGCTTTCCCGGACCAGGAAGCTGCCATTGATGAGGCTGCTCAACAGATACTCTGCTGCGCTGCGGGACACCGGCCCGTGGTACCACGAGTGCTTTTCCAGGCTGTTCACTGGTGTGATGTAGTTGCTGGGTACCCAGCCCTGCCCGTTCTTCGAACGTACCTCACTCCATTCACCGTTCTGGTTGTAGCCCAGGACTCGCAACTTCTCGCCTGTGACCAGAAAGAAAAAAAAAAGCAAAATAAGCACAGTACAATCCCTGGGGTCTCAGTAAGGGAGATACTCTCTGTCAGCTGAGTAAGCCTGGGTTTGTAGCTTAGCAATACAAACCTGAAGCATATGTAACTAAACTACTTCATAAATACTTTGTATGTAGCAAAGTTTCAGACAGAATCTGTAGGCTACTGTTCCCTAACTTACTGCAGTGACTGATGAACTCAAAAAGCTTCCTGTCTCTTCGAACGTACCTCACTCCATTCACCGTTCTGGTTGTAGCCCAGGACTCGCAACTTCTCGCCTGTGACCAGAAAGAAAAAAAAAAGCAAAATAAGCACAGTACAATCCCTGGGGTCTCAGTAAGGGAGATACTCTCTGTCAGCTGAGTAAGCCTGGGTTTGTAGCTTAGCAATACAAACCTGAAGCATATGTAACTAAACTACTTCATAAATACTTTGTATGTAGCAAAGTTTCAGACAGAATCTGTAGGCTACTGTTCCCTAACTTACTGCAGTGACTGATGAACTCAAAAAGCTTCCTGTCCAGCTTTTTAGACTAGAAAGACTTTTTTTTTTTTTTTCCTGGAGGGATGACATTTGTCTCCATCCTGAAGCCTTAAATGATGTGATTTCAAACAGGTCTGCAGCAGGTCATGTTCTGATACAACCATTGAACAGAAATAGAAAATCCCTGAAATTCTTAATTATTGATTTTGCTCCAGTTGAAAGTGCTGAATTCTGTTAACATAAATAATGTAAAGGTTTTCCTCTCTCCCACCCTACAACTGATGTCTCAACATGCTGGTGATGTGGGGAGCCTAGAAAGGGAAGAGCTCGACTGGGATGGGCTGTTGGGCCATGTCACACAGAGCTGTGCCTGTACCGGGAGAACTGCCCAGCAGGTGTCTCTGCAAGCCAAGTGAGTGAGGGACCATCTACTTGTAGTCATCACTTCAGAGAATAATCTTCCCTAACTCCACTCAGTCCTGTTCCTATCCAGAGAAGGATCCTGCTTTCTGTTTTCTGTTGCTAAGTTTTCAGCTTAGTAGCTGCTCCGTGGTGTCAGAGCCTTCCTTACCTTTGGTGATGCTGAGCGTGTTGTCACCGCTTGCTACAAAGTCATAAAGTGCAACAAAGAGATTGGGATCGCTCTCAGTGGCTCCAAGCAGGTTCTCCTTGGAGCTCCATCTGATGGCTTCGTTCAGTGCCTGGGGTTCAACATCACAGCCATAGGGGCGGTGCAGGGCCTCTGAGGAAAGAACAGGTGAGGACATGACTTTGTGTACAACTGCAAGCAGATCAGAATGCAGTGTGCAGCAGAGCAAAGCACAATGTGCTCTTTATGGAAGGGGAACACCACATCTACACAATTCAGATCGGTGTTTTTCAACCCCCACTTTGCTGACTCTTTGTCCTATAGGTTACTCCTAACAGGGCCTGGAGAAGGTGATTAACTGCCTAGATACCAAGTTGCATCTATAAAATTTCTATGTAATATTTATTATATATACTTCTATTTCTATACACCTCTATTTGAAAATATTTAAGCATTAAGTGCTTTTTATCATGTGAAGTAGTGAAAGAAACCTTTCAGTGCTGAAATGTTATGTTTTATGTCTTTATTCTTTCTGTGGCTCAAGTAGATAGCCTGGATCTGAAACCAACACTACAGATACAGGTAAGACAGACTGAATTATGACACAAATTAGGTCTATAGGTTGGGACAGTAACTGATTCAGGATTAGCAGAAATGGTGGTGATTTATAATACATTTCAAGACTGTGTAATTATGAGATGGAAAACTGACAGGGACAAAACCAATCTAAATATACATGGTCTTGGAAAGAACTGTAGTAAGGAAAGCAAAACTGCCCAAGCACTTAATGGTAGTGGCTCTGCCAAGACCATCATTGGCTTTCTAACCCAGAGGGAGGTTTCCCAGGAATATGTAGCAGAATAAATTTCAATATTAAGACAAGAGCAAGAGTGATGATGTGATTTCATACATGTGGGCTGCTCAAAAGAGCAAAAAATACAAAGGTTTAAAGATACAAATATTTTCTTTGATGGCACAACTGAAGTTAAGTTCCTGTCACAATACATATTTCCAAAATCTCTTCAATTCACTGTAAAAGTACTTAATTAAATGCATCAAACACAAAAAAAGTCTTCTTTAAAAAGTTGGGATGCTTTTTTCACTTTACAGTCATTGCTTTGACCCATACCTGAGGGGCTGAGATGTCAGGCTCAGGATGTTTTTAAGCAGACCATTGCCAGAAAATGTGTGTATGTAACACCTCCTCTTGCCCACACTCCCATGAGATTTATAGCAGTGAGCAAGAGCTTGTCTATAAGGCACTTTTAAAAGGGAACAAAGAGCTCAAATGTAATACTGGATGGGAAAACTGGGAAGTCAGTGAGACACAAAACAGGAAGAGGCCTGTGCCAAGTAATAGGGAAATGTATGCCAAATCTGTGTCACAGGACAGAGTTCAAGCCTGGAAAATGGGGATGTAAGGGGTGTTCCCAGCATCTACATGCAATCAACTGTATTGTAGGCACATGAGAAAGTAAATGGTTGAGATTTGTTCCATTTTGTTTTTACACATGTAGCCTAAGTGGCTTTTGACTGCATTTTTGGTAATAATTCAGAGTTATACTGCTTGCTCCTCATCTTGCAATTACTTAATAACCTAACTCCTGAGCCTTGCCAAAGGAGCCCTCTATTATGATTCTCCTAGCAAGAACTGAAGTGATGAGAGATTAAGCTACCAAAAGGTAACTTGATTTTTTTGTTCCTAACCATCAGCTGCAATTAGTTTTACAAGATAGTAACCCATCAGACTGGGTTCTACCATGGAAAAGAGGATGACTGCTCAGCTACCTGCATTATAGCATAACTGCAACATCCCACTGTAATTTCATAGAGCTGGGTATGTGCATATGCATGTCCAGCTGATAAACACCAGGAAAGAACACCAGTTCCTACATCCAGCTCTCTTTATGGAGTAAAAATACATATTTAATTCAATAATACATTCTTTTTACTCCTCCAGTGACTTGAGTTAGAGAGAGGGTTTCAGTGCCTTAAGCAAAGTCACTCAGAGAATGTACTATACAAGAAATCTGACTTGCACATCACTGCTAAGGAGCAAACACAAAAGTAGGCAGTGTTTCCAAAAATATCTGACCTTTCAGCTCCAAAATACCTTAATGGCATCTAAATAACTTCCTACTTTCAATTATAGATCTGCTGAAATGTGAAAGGCTTTGAACTAAAACTTAAGCATTTGTTCTCAAGCAATGTTGAAGGTTTCTTTCTCTAACCAGAAAAGCTCATGAACTGAGCATCCAACCCCTGCTGATCAGAGCACTGAGTGAAGCATTTAACCAACTGCTGGATGGATGGGTCAGCCAAAGCAGCCCAGTGTCAGGTCAGCTTCAGAGATGCTGCAGCAAACCCCAGGACCACCCCAAGCCCAGCAGCAGGCACAACAGCCAAGGCAAATCCAGCAGAAATGCCACCTGCTGTTTAGTGCTGAGCAGCTCTGCTGACATGAAACCACTGGTGGTGCTGTGCTGGATTGCCAGCGAGGAGCCAAAGCAGATGTGGGGCTACCACCACTTCCTTAGGAATACCTGGAAGACTGGCACATGTTCTTAACACCCACTTTCTGTACAAAAAAAAAAGCCAGCAGAAGTTAATGTTTGATGAGGAGCTTCAATCACATAGCTCCAGCACTTACCTAAAAATCACATTACCTAAAAATCAAATGCTTTTAAGAGTTCATGTCTCAGTAACTTCCTTCACTTTCATTTTCAGAGTGACTTGGATGCTTAAGCAAATGTAAAGGTTATCCAGAATCTACTAAAGGGGAATTTACCACGATGTAAAAGCACCTACTGCAGGTTATTATTACATAATCACCTGTGCTGCTCAACACAGCATGGGGTCTATACCATCCAATATGTACAGATACAGGAAGTCAGTGAAACATGATAATCAAATAGACCTTGTTTGGGAAAATAAGATAACCAGAGCATATCAGAAATTATACCCCTCTGATTGAATAGTCTGCAATCTCTATTCACACCAAGAGTAAGGAAATGAGCTGGGAAGTTTTGGTTTTTATCAGCTCCTTTTAAAGGCTCACCATAAATCATATATGACCACTTTCATTTCCTATACAATGGAAAACTTACATCATCCTTTAGTGACCAAGGTAGTACACGACCATGCACGGAGGTTACGCTTCATCCATCTCCTTCCTTTTCTTTATTCCCACAATACAACTTCCTTCTCTCCGGATATGAATGCTTTTCCTATTCAGCCAACATGTAAGGGGTGTTTTGTCCCCTACCCCGTGCTGCCAACACAGCAATTCCTGATCTCTTTGGTCCAAGAGCAGGAGGTAGCTATGCTAAATTTTGAGAATCACATCAAGCGCTGACGTGGTCTCTGTTTCTGAAATACTGTCTAACTGATCATAGAAATGAAGCATTTCAATAATCCTAAAACCTGGATAAAAGTAGGTGATTTCAGTTCTGCCCGAGGCTGGTCTCATACTACAAGACAAAGATAGACCTGAAAGGACCCACATCTTCCCTGAAGCACTCAGAGAAAAAGAGGAAAGAGATGGCACAGCATTACATCCCTGAACATCATACCTGTGAAACTCGAGACACCAGGCTCAGAGGCTTCCTCACCAAGACAGCAGAGCAGCTTGTCCTCTTTGCCATAGCTGCTAGACTGGAAGAGGGCTGTTCCCACAATCATCCTGTGCTTCCCAGCAAGCAGAAGAGGCTGCTTGACTATAGAAGTCCTGGGCTGCCAGTGCCAAAAGGCCACCACGTGCAGACAGTCCCTGCTCACAAGGCTGACAGCCAGTGAGAAAGCAAACACTGCTGAGAGGCTGAAGGAGAAACTGGGAAAACTGAGCTGCTGGTCAACTTGGTTATTAGCTGGAAGTGAGGGTGGAGCTTCCCAGGCAATGCTGAACAAACAGAGGATGTGGGGACTGGGCTGCAAGTTGAAACAACTTTGCGATGAGCTATAAAGACAGTTTTGTTCCTCTGAGAGTTAGGCAACAAAGTGTTTGGGAAGAAAGCAAACAGTTTCCTTGGAGAAATTCCTTGGTAGATATTACAAAACAGATCACCCATTAAGGGACCGCCCGGATTGATTCATTTTTCCACTCCACATAGCATTGCTGCAGCACTATTTACATGAATCAACAGGAAAGGATGGTAGTGAAAATACACCTCTAAGAGACGCACAAGCCCTGGCAAATAAACGCTCTTGAACATTTCAGGGTCTCAGAAACAAACAGAAAGCAAGGGCAGGACAGTATGCCCAGTCTGAGCTGCCTATCTATAGAATCATGGAATGGTTTGGGTTGGAAGGGACCTTAAAGATCACCTAGTTCAAATCCCTCTGCTGGGCAGGGATAAGTATTTGGTGATTTAGCTCTCTCCAAAAAGTACCATCGGATTACCTCTACAAAGATAAGATTTGTTGGATGAATTCCTTAAAAGCCCTAGTTTTCTAGCAAAGGCTGCATGGCTTGCAGCAGGACAGGCCCCTCCTACCATGTGGATGAGGAAGGGTTAAAGAACAAGCTATCACCATGGAAGTTTCACACCTGGGAGGGTGGTGGGCCTGCAGAGGGGTATAAAAGTGAGCAGGGAAGGGGAAGTGATTTGGCCTTTTGTAGGGGGGAGAGAGGAGCTGTTGCAGCTCACGGAGAAGAAAAAGAAGCAGCATTTTGTTAATTCTTGAACTCTAACATTTTGTGAAAAACGCAGCTGCATCGTGGTGAGGACTCAGATCAGGCTAAAGGTAAGAAATGAGCCACCTGGCTTGTTCCAAAATTTGTGTTTTGTAAGGCTGTGGATGTGGAAAAGCACTATGTAAAATTGTGGATATGCTGTGGTGACAAGGAGCTGCTTTTCCCTATATGGTCTGTGACATGAGGTGTTTCTCCTGCCACCATGAACTAATGTATGTGGAAAAAATAACCAAAGAAAATACCTTAGAATACCTGTATACTGTTGTCTTCCTAAAGTTCTGACAAGAGGGCAACCTCTTTTCTTCCTCCTCTGAAACCAAGCTCAGTGAGTCCTGCATCATGCTACCCAGTACTTAAGAGGTTGAGCTACCTTTACTTAAGAGCTCCTCAGCTTCCTCTTTTTCCTCTATGGTTTTGCCTCTTGCAGTTAATTGTTTTTTCCCCTCCTAATTGCTCCAAGTGCTCTAAATTACCCTGTTATTGGTACTAACCTCAGCACAACTGTTAATACACAAAGGATAAGCAGAATTTGTAGACAAAGACAGCACAGCCTCAAAAAAACATGGATGAGCTTCGTGACAAATGCACTTTTCAGGTGGGTCTGAAATGGCACCAGGAAAGGGCAAGTGATGCATCAAGTTGTGGCTAAATTAGTCTTAGCTGTAATAGTTAAGAAAGTTAATAACCAATTTACTTGTTAAAATACAACGTATCTCTAGAACAAAGAAGGATTAATAGGAAGGCAGGCTGGATGAGGAATGCAACTTGCAAACACATCTATTGATCCCCTCAATTTTATCCTGTAAGAAGAGTACTCTGTGCCTCATGGCTGGCTGGTCTGTCAACGAGCTCCTGATGGGAATCAAGTAGTACCCAGCACCTGTAACATCTTGGCTCTAAGTTCCCTGTGACGGGGCAATTCTGTCCCTGCACTATTCCAGACACTCACCCTTCTGAAGGTGTTCCACAGGAGGAAGGACATGGGGTGTCCTTGCAGGGTGTGTAGCTGTTCATAAGGTCTTGTCAAAAGCATCCAGGGAGAATAAAATAAGGCATCTCTCCGTGTTCTAGATGAGTGTTATTTCTTTTACAACAGATTTTCCTAGATAGTTGATTAAACACTGTGGGCCATCATGTTGATATCTGCATCCACCACATCTGCATCCTGTTCCTATTCATTTCACATTAACTGCACAATATAAAATCTTAATTCTGTTATGCTCAACTTCCTCAGTGGAAGAATTCACCTTTCAGACACTGCAGCTCTTCCCAGCTTTCCAGACTATTCCCTGTGGTGCCCTTCAAAGCTGTTTCCTGAGAGTGGTTACCCTTCCTGTACAACTTAAATCATCCATTTAGAACCATTTCTCTAGTTCTTCCAGCAGTGGGGAAAAGTTGAATGTAAGGAAATCTTGCTGACTGTGCTACTTTGAAATGTAGAGTTCAGGGAGATTCTAAAAATCTACTATATTCTGAATTTATTAATCAAATGAAAGGATGTGTAGATGGAAATAGAGGTCTGAAAAGGATTTGGTGATGTTGGAAGCAGGCCAAAATGATGGATTTGTCAATGGAAGGGAGAGAGACAAAGAAAGGGTTATAGGGTAAATACTACATGTTGCATAAAGCCTTAATCTGGTATCTTAGGATTTTACAGCAAAAAACATAGGGTGTGTATTTATGTGTGTATATTTATATATACACACAGTGTTCTATCTTCTGGTTTCTCTTTTACAAAGGAACACTTTTGCACAAGGCCACCAAGGTACCTGCATATGCTACATCATTCACTTTATTTTCACTTTGAGTTTGCAAACTAAAGATCCATGATGGTATTTTACACACTATATGCTGGCTTTTAAGAGTATGAAAAAATAAGCAATGGTCAACTCAAAGCACAAAAACCAGACCATCAAGTAACTAACTACTGCTAGTATAATCAATATTTTCCACTGCATCTTCAAAAAACTGTATCACTTTACATCATTAGACTTTGAGATCTTTAACCAGCTTGGCAGTGGGAGGTTTTCTGCCTTAATGAATACGAGGAAACAAAATTGATAACACAGCAGCAAGTGGGTTTCCTATTTTGCTGACATGATTGGAACGGTATCAAATTCTACAGTAGCTTTGTTTCTCAAGCCAAGTCTCAGCACTTCCTACTAACCAAAAATACTCAAGGCAAACTACATACTAAAAAGCAAACCCATGCTCAACAGGCCAAGTTCCTGCTGTCTAATAATGTGGTAACATAGAAGCAGACCTATGAACTTTCTTTACCCTGTAACAGACTTAAGCCCTTACCTAAATGGACCACCTAGTCTTTCTGCTGACATATATGCTGCCATGAAAAACACCAGTTTAAAAGGGTTCAGACAGCTCACATATGGCTTTGGTAAAATGCAGGCAACCTAACTAAATGCCATTCCCAGGTGTTCCTCTCCTGTAAGCAACCAGACTCTTAATAATGTGGTTTGCTTGAGCTAGGCACAGCCATAGTTAGCCTTTGGGCCTCCCACAGAGTGGTGCAAGGTTTAAGTACTGTAAACAACCAACCACAGAGTGGTGCAAGGTTTAAGTACTGTAAAAAACAGTGTTTAAAGCCAAGAAATACAGCTCCAAGCCAAGAACTTGGGATGGGCAAGGAATAGGTTTCTATTTATGGTACCAGTCTGGGAGAGACAGAATGGGAGGAGACTTCAGAGTCAGCAACAAAATTGCATCACGAACAGCTCACATAATGTAAAAAGAAATGTTTCAAACCAAGCTCACAGGACTGTCTTGCCTCAGTTAGCAAAAGATATGAGAAACAGAAAAGGTTAATAAAAGTGAGCTTTGGTATCACAGAAATGTATGGAGAAACCTGGAAGTTCCCCATACAGCTCACTGCCTACATGCAGATTTATTCTGCAACATGACAAACTGCTGCATGAGGTATTCCCCTGTACTTACTTAATGGTTCAAATGGTGTGTCTTCACTAGAAGACATGATTTTTGGCTAGCTTGATATAAAAACCCAAGGGCTTTTGGTGTCAATTTTAATTGGTAGAAGGAGAGAGAAGGATTGATCTCAACTAGTGACACCAGTGGATAAAGCACTCAAGACATGACTGTGTACCTGAATGTGACAACAGGTTAGCTATGATAAGATTAAAACAAACTGACATTGATAGAAGGAACTGCCTGCCTACAGTTTCACTGGTTCCCATTATCCTCTTCCTTTGCTATTAATGCCATCAAACGTTCAGAGGTGTTCCTCAGCCTGTTTCCTTGCTCAGATGTCAGTGACACACAGGTCTACCATTTCTTCCAGTACCAACTTAATCCAACACTTGTTTATTTTCTCAGCTTTTTTCTGGTAAAGAAGTGTCTCTTTGGTACAGAACTCAGAATGAAATAAATCAAGCTGTAAGACACCAAAACTTCTACTGAAGCATTTGGTAGCATTGCTCTTTCAGGAGAGAATTTCAAAGTAGATGAAGTATTGATCATCTTCAGTACAAACACTGCTAATGCAGTAGACTGGCTCTCATTACCTCTAAGATTTTTTGTCCTCTCAGAACTCTGGCAGGAAAGTGACTCTGGGATAAAAGCAACTAAATGAAACAGGGTTTGGTTTGGTGAGGGTTTTTTTGCATTAAAACAAAACAAACCACTTCAAGGTGAGGAACCTGTGAGCACAGGAGAGCTGGACTTAACAGTCCTTAAAAGGTGGAATGAATATTTCCTGCCCCAGGTATTGGGAATGGTCAGAAGCACCAGAATCCACCCCAACAGTACCAATCTGACTTCTCTGAATGTGCCTCTGGGTGAGGAACTGAAACCCAACAGATAGTAAGAAAGACTTTCCTGCAGTAAGAAAGATTTAAATGCTATTAAAATTCTGCACAAAAAGGATTTTAGGATGAAAAGCTACAAATGTAACCTCTTCACAAAATTCTGAATACTGTATCAAAATGGTTGTTACCCTAATTACTAAGGGTTTTTT